GAAATGACCAGGGAGGAGAAGCGGTACCTTTTTACACGATAGGCTCAAGACGTATCGGAATTGTTAATCGTATTTGACGAAGTTGTAATAGGTTACGTCTAATTTCGTTTGCGTAATCGATTCGTGGTTTCGAGTTTCTTGTCGACGCGGCCCCAATGCGTGCAATCTAACGTAATACGCTCGCAGCATTGGCGGAAGACGGCCTGCCTTGTCACAAACACTGGCACTAGGTTTGAGTTGCTTTACTTCCGTAAACCAAACAAGAAGATACAGCGGTGCTGATGGAACCTTTCTGCGTATGTAATTCTGATGGATTTTATTTTTGCAGATAGATGCCTCGATCCCTTTTGAGTGATTGAATTATGGCTCTGAGTCCAGCGAAGCCTCTAGCCTTGGTCAGTCGTGGTTAAACTTAAGTGACATTCCGTATTGATCTGGATTATTCACCACTGCAGAACACCGAGTTTTGCGGGGGAGGGGAGTAAGCCTCAGCACCACGCATTGCATCGAAGTTATATGTTTTATTTAAATTGCAAAAGCTATACGTTTTAATACGCCTGTACGCTTGGGTCGCCAGTTACGCATACACGCAAAAAGATATGCCGGGATTGTTGTCGTGCCGACAATAATCCGAAATTTGTAAAGTGAATATTCGGGCGGATTTTTTTTCAAGAGTGAATAACTTTTGCATTCCTGGAAAATAAGCTAGTTAAACACAAAATTGATCGGCGAGAAACACGAAAATAAGGGAACAGCTTTAACACAATCCCTCCAAAAATGATCGTATTTTTGCAGTTTTGGTGCAGTCGCTTGTTGTGTTTGCCCGTTGCAAAATAACATCACCGTCTCAGTACAGACCATCCGTGGAAAAAACATTGGATTGTTCCACCCTCTGCAAAATCGAAAAGCCGGTGGGGGGGGTGCACCATCATCTGATAGGAGCACTGGTAAAAGTGATCAAGTGGCGCTCTTCATCCCTGCAGGTTTGCCGAAGGACGCACCATTTTTCCGACGGGGCCGATTTCGCCGTTCTGATTTTCAGCGTCCCGATTTCGCTTTTCACAACGGCTAATCTGCGACTTGCCCCCCCCCCCCCTTCCCCCGGTTACGCCACTATCTTGTTGCATCGTCATTCACTCGCACGGATTTTTATCTATCTTGAAAACATATATTTTTCGTGCTGCTCATTTAATATGGATTCTAGTTTCGGATGAGAATGTGTCGGGTATTTTTAGTGTATCTCTATACTGTTTCGTGACACCAAAGATGTGAGAATATGTGCATGTGTGCATGAAATGGGAAAAGACAAAGTATTTTTTCGGATAGTATACAAATAATGAATGTTTGTGAGTGCAATGGTAAAAATAATTTCATGAGGTGACAGATGAAATGTTCCATTCATCTGTCACCGAATGAAATTATTCTTTCCATTGCACGAACGTGAAACATTCATTATTTGTTTTATATAGCACCTGAATAAATCATTGTCATCTGATTGGTTGACTTTTAAGAGCCAATTAATTCAGGTTAAAAACTGTACCCAAAAAAAAAAAAAAAAAGTTCGACAAGTTCATCATATTTAATTTATGCAAACTGTTCAACATGTTGAGAGCCATCACATTCAATTTATCTCGATTTAAAACAGCGCCACCACCGGCAGCAATGACAGCGTGCAATGGAAGTTCTATTTACCGTGCAATAGAACTTCCATTACACTGTGCGCTGCGCGCCGCGCGTGCGTCGTGCGTTCGGACGATTTACTGAATGACCTGTGATCAACGATCCACCAATCAGATGACGGGGATTTATTCAGGTGTTGTATAATGTACATTGTATGTAGCTTTGAATTTAATTTTCCGCTTTTAATAAAATGAGACCTTGACGAGAATATGATGTGTGTCTAGTGTGCATCATTCCAGCTTTTTTGTAGGATGCACCAGTTGGCCCATTCTATCTCTTATTGCGACAACCCCGAAAGGTTTTGTGTGTAAAAACATGATGCGCTCCTTGACCGCTCTAAGGTCTATCCTGCGTTGCAGACATCTCAAGAAGCAGGTGTTTTCTCTCTGTGTAGACCCGTGGGATGATCAGGTTCATGATCTACCCGCTTTTACCCGACGCTGCTCCACCAAAGGGCGCTGATGTTTACTAATCTTTTCCTAAAATGTTGTGAAAAAAACGTATAACTCACATCTATAGACGAATTTCAAAGAGGCATTGGGAGGGCTCCAAGATTGGATCACGGTTGGATACAGACGAACTTCCGGGCATGTGATATCTGTACACTCACAAAACCCCCTGCAATTGAGACAAGGGCGGATCGGGGGGGGGGGGACCAACGGGGGCCATGCCCCCCCCCTCCCCCCCCCCAAAAAAAACACCCATTTTTTTTTTAAAGTAACGTCGCAATAAAGGGAGGCAGTAATCTTTTCCTAAAAAAAAAATTGGTCAACGTGGTCAGAAATTGCCTCAATTTTGGGGCCACCAAAATTTTGTTTGGCCCCGAAACAATTTTGTTCTGGATCCGCCTTTGAATGGAGAAACCATTAAGGAGTAAAAAGACTGCCAAGAGACTTCAGTGATAATTACGCGCACTTCCCAAAATTATTAAAAAATACTCACATAAATAACACAAATGAAATTAATGGTTATTTTATTATCTGTCATTTTCTTTCCAATTTGTGGGGGTTCAACCAATGACCTTTAGGAGAAAATTCCATCAAAGGATAATCGCCCCTATAAGTTGTCCTGAAGCCCATCGTCATTTTGAAAAAAGGATGTCTACGCTCCATTGCAAAATAAAGCCATTTTAGGGCCTATTTTCATCCAAATTTCACAGAAATACGAGTTCGCAGTGTCCTCTGCACGGCTCACCCTTTTTGTTTTACACAAATCCATAAGTTTACGGCCCTCAAAATGCTGTAATACTTGAGAATTTGAGGGCATGCAAATCGTGATTTGGCAAGCGTAGGCAATTTCGGGCCTATTTACTGGTCTGTACCCTTAATGCACTAAAGTCTCCATGCTGTTAATTTTAAGGTACCGTATCTAAAATTACTGTTTTCAGCTAACATTTCAGTTGGGAGGCGGGGGTTGATTGTTGAAACACAGAGTGCTCTAAGGTTGAAATATCAACTGAAATTCCCAAACTACAAATTCAATAAACAAACGATGTAACCTATTTAAGATTGTGAGCGTAACACTGGTAAGTGTGACACAAGTTACGTAATCAAAGTGATTAATGAAGTATGTACGAGAACTGGGTGAGTAATACTCATGTGTAAAGACTTGAAAAACTGTTATCTATGATAAGCCTACCATTAAAAGATGTCAAAAAATAAATAGTTACCGATAACTATGTTGTGGGCGTGTTTCACAAGTAGCACATGACATACAACATATTTTTAGCTCCATGATTTCAATGAGAGATTCTTAAAAAAAGTTTTAGAAAAAACAAGGACCAAGTGGTACAACCAACGGCGGGTAACGTGTGAAGGCGGCTATACGGCATCTTCCGTGCACCCGGGCCGTACTGATACCTCGCGAGTACAAAAAACGAAAAGGAGTGGGACGTGATCTAATATGCAAAGAATATGCAAAATTAGACGCATGCGCAACAGTGTTTGCAAAACCGGTGTCACGGTCTCACTTCTCCGGCGTGCCAGCTTCTCCGGGTGGATTTGGCGGATAATTGAGCACGTTACAGTGCACGTTACATGAGCACTATTCATGCTCATGTGTCCGCTGTGCTAGCTTTTCCTCGGGCTGTATTGTTGTTGTAGAGTGTACTCGGTCCATACAGACAGTGAGGGACACCCAAGAATGCGTTATGTAACACTTCCTGTGGGTCAAGTCATATTGCAAGCATTCTGAAGTTGTGTTCCCATCGTCATTGCGTGTGCGTTGAGGAAAAATTAAGAAGCGTGTTCCTTGCTCGGTCGTGGTCCATCACATGCATGTCCAATTTGCAACCACGTTCAACCACGGTTTAAAATAAATGTGCATCCTTCAAGTCTTTTTGGTTATTAGGATGTTGGGAGTTAATTGCGCGCCCCACCACGCCTAGGTTTGCATTCGATGGTACCCTGTGACGTATACATACCATCCTAACTTCTTACGCGCACCAGTACAACCCCAAAGAACTCAGCACACACATAAAGTTGGCGAAAGTGAACACTACTGCGCAATTTTGTGCATGCGTGTTGAAGCGAAATTTCCAACTTGCAGAAGCTAGCACGCCGGGGAAGTGTGACCGTGACACCGGTCTTCGAATGCAAACCTGTAATACTTGAGTTGTATGAATACAATATATGGCCGAGTAAAGTGTCCACCAACCAACAAACAACCCACTAACACACCAACCAACCAACAAACAAAGGCAGCTCAAGCCCACGGTGTGAAACACGCCGTGGGACTAAAAAGAGACGATCATGCCATTATGACAAATTACTTGACTAACATCAACTATACGGAGCTGAAACACAAACAAGTCAAGGTCACATTTGACCCAGAATCCGGGTCCTTCGGGCCTGACCCTTTTTCGGGTCATGACACTTTTCCGGGTCAAATTGACCAGGAAATTGAGTCCAAGAAGTGTAATTTTGACCCAGAAAAGGGTCCGGCCCCATGGGACCCGGGTTCCGGGTCGAATCTGATCCAGGACTTTTTAGAGTGCTATAGCTCCAAGCATCGACACCTAGATGAATCCACTTCTGTGTACTGAATGCTCAGCGTAAGCAATACAAATATGGGACGCATGCCGTTCCTTAAACCGAATGCAAAGTTTAAAGTTCAGACCACATTCGATAGCACGACTGCCACTTGAAGCACTTGCCGTTAGAAAACACTGTTTAATCAAGTCCGCCTACTTGCACTTTAATCCAAAAGATAAGAGGGGGATAAGAATAAACAAATCACGGGAGTTGTTTGTTTCAAATGATATCTTTTTTCAAGTTACCCATGCTTTCGAATATAAATGCTCGGGACTAAATTTTAGTCTGGAGCATTCGAGCGCTCGCCAGCGTCTGGGCCACTCCGTGCTGAATGTCTGCGGTGCGTGTCGAGCGTTTCAGCATCTGCAAAATCTGAAATGCATTGTGTCGTGTTTGGTAACCCGTTTACACCTTTTGTGCTGGTATAACTAAGGTACAAAGCAGGTATGTATTTTGACACTGCTACCTAGTATATTTATATAGATGATTTTGATGGCAATTGTTTTCCCTGCATATACAGGGTGGTCAAAAAAACGCAACCTAATTCTTCCACTACTCAGAGACCTACACTATTGCTATATGGATAGGAAGTTTTGTTGGAAGGAAAATGATACCAAGAACTTGTGGAGTGTGATGGCCAGCGGTTAAGAACACCGGACTCACGTTCTGGTGTTTCAGAGGCAACAGTGACGCGGGTTCGAGCCCGCCGGCGGACACCTGTGCTCTTAAGCAAGGCACTTAACCATTATTGCTTCGTCCTTCGGATGGGACGTTAAGCCGTAGGTCCCGTGTGTTGTATAAATGCACGTAAAAGAACCCAGTAAACACTTATCGCTAAGAGAAGGGGTTTGCCCCGTTGTTTCTGGCCTCCTGTATAAACTCCCACGTGGAGTATTTAGGAGAAGAACCAACCAAGAACCAACCAAGAACTCCCGATACGGTCTAGTAGGCCTAGTTTTGATTCCAGCGCCATTTTTGTGAAACAAAGTCAGGGGCTCTAATTAGGATTACCGCACACAGTGAACAAAAGGATTATCTTAACCGCTGACTTTGTTTCACAAAAAATGGCCCTGGAATCAAAACTAAAGAACTGAATCGAGAGTTATTGGTATCATTTTCCTTCTAACAAATGTCCTAGCCATACATATCCATGGTTTGGGTCCCTGGATATTGGAAGTATGGGGTTGCGGGTTTTTTTTGGACCATGCACCCTGTATAAGGTAACATAGAAAATGGTGCATGAGGTAGTCATAATGGACTCGAAATGCCTTGACTTATTGCACATGTATAGTGTTTACGATATGTATTGAACTACGAACAGAAGGAATGATTGTTTGTCAACTCTCTGTTTTCCAAAGAGTAAATTGTCACTCCATCACACACACTGAAAGTAGGTACACAAGATGATTTACAGTAAAACATTACTCAGTTAGATTGAAAGAGTTTGGGGGAAAACATTGCTGGAATAGAAACTCAATCTATTCGATTGAATTTCACTCCAAACGTCCGTTGTAGTCGGATACCTTTGTTACTGGACTCAGGTTCAGTATAATGGAATATCACAATTCACAATGTCTTTCAGGCGGATGTTTTACTGGATGCAGTTTGTGCAAAGCGTACGTGCCGTGATCAAGCCCGGTTCAAATTATAGACTTGATTGCGGATTGCCTTTCACGTCCCCAGTGGTCTTGGACTAGCGACTTGACTCGGCGAGTCAAAGATCCAAGATTACTAAGCAACAATAGGTCCACGCTATAAGACCAGAAAGTGTGGTAACGGTAGTTTGCAGGAGTCGAGGTCACCCTGTGCTGGAACAAGGGATCAAGCCGTGTCCAAAGTGCAGACTTATTCTTTTAGTGTATGGCTGTATGGTCGACAGTGATGTAGTGCCTTGATGCTGGGCCTTGGCCTTAAGGCTGCCTTAAGGCTGGATTTTAGGGCCTTGGCCTTGGCCTCAAGGCTTGAGGGCAAAAGCCTTGGCCTTGGCCTTGGCCTTGAGGGTTCAGGGCCTTGCAATTTTGAGTCAAGGCTCTTCAAGGCCCATAGAGTTTTGCATTTTCCAGATAAATCTGTTCGAAATTTTGCTGTTACCATTTTAATCGTATTACATGTACGATGGAGGAGGGAAGCACCATATAGATTTGTGTGTTAGGCACACTTCCACTTTTATAGCATCACATGTTGTTACCATTGTAGTAGATTTGCTGCAACAATATTCCGTACACTTGTGGGGCTAATGAGATGATCACTTTAATTGCATATAACTATGGAATAGATTTGATTGGTTGTATATGTCTCCCTGATAAGTGCTAAAGATTTGCATGTATCTGTTTTAGATAATGCTGATATTTCTGACCATGTTGGGCCAGCAAATAAAAATTTCCCAAATCAGTTTCTTGGATCCCCCTTTTGTTACACTTGGGAGAATTGTGTGTCAATATAGAAGTAAATCATTATTTTGTTTAGTTAAACCATATTGCAGACCTGAACTTATACGTTAATAGATACAGTGCAGTCATAAAACGGTGTAGGCCTATGCGAGCATGTTGATTGCAATTAAGAAATGTTGTTCTTCGTAACGAGCAATTCGTGATGATAAGGCCGGATCCAGGGGGGTCAAAAGGGGCCACGCCCCCCCCCAAAAAAAAAAAACGAAACCATTTTTTTTTTATGTGACGTCGTAATAAAGGCAGGCAATGAGTACACCACCATCTTTTCCTAAATAAACATCGGTTAAAATGGTCAGAAATTGCCTCAAATCGCACCACAGAGCATCTCGAATCCAATTTTTTTCGGGGCCCTTAAGCGGGCCCCGAAGCCCAAGCCGTAATCTTTTGACCCACTTTTTTTTTGGGGGGGGGACCAACATTTCTTTGCCCCCCCCCCCAATTGTGTTCTGGATCCGCCCTTGCGTGATGATGTGTCACTCATGTGACTATAATTAGTTCTATATCAGTGGTCATTTCATAAAACAGGGCCTTGGCCTTGGCCTTGGCCTTGAGGGTTAAGCCTTGGCCTTGGCCTCGAGGCTTGAGGGTCGAAGCCTTGGCCTTGGCCTTGGCCTTGAGGGTCAAAGCCTTGGCCTTGGCCTTGGCCTTGAGGGTCAAAGCCTTTGCTCCAACACTGATGGTCGAAACAGGTGGTTTTTGTTCATGCGGATATGCCGAGTCGATAAAAGAAAACCATTTTCGGTTTACGTAGCTGTCGAGGTTTCGCTTTTGCTGATATTTGTATACACCTGGTTCCGTGGGCTTTTCCCAGAATATTCTTCTGGGGTTTTCCTCCCACCTCTAAAACGGTAGTTTCTTCTCATTGTCTCCTCTCTGTAGATTTCTACAGGCTTTCGAGCTGCACTGCTTATTGCACTTTTGAGGAATCCTTGGTTTCATTACCAGAAAGGGAAAAAATAAATAACATAAAGACAAATAGAAGAGTGACGACCTGCAACTTATTCTTTTCCATCTGCATGGGATCTCAAATATCGGTATTGAATAATGACAGGCAGAAATCTCACGAGTGTGTTGCCTATCTGATCATATAGCCTGGTGCCCTCACCTACATCATGGCTTTACCCGTGCAAATAGCCCGCTAAAATCCCGCGCCATAATATGCAGCCTCACGCTCGAAACGTGCCGTATTAAAGGAACAGTTCACGTGGAGTGGCGAATCGTGCGCGCAGCCGAAACCAATTTCATTTTTTTAAACAATTTTTCACAAAATCTGAGCCCTCGCTTTGTTGGTGCTCTTTGTCCTACTTTAAGGTGATAATTTTGTGTGTGTGGGTCGAAATCAAGGCGTAGGAAGCGTGACGTCTGGCGTTTGATCGCGATCACTTCGAACTGGGTCATCTCCATTGTCGAAATTAAACCTGGACTGTAAGCAAACAGGTACTATGGACAGCAAGATGAGTTCATTGTTCATTATTGAAGATTGTCGATGTGTTCGAATGAACCGTGTAAGTTAAACAAACTGTCGAACTGGGAACAACACTTTAATCAACGAAAACACCAGCAACTATACAAGTGTCATATTCTTCATGAAACGCGAAGGCAGCCTAGTCCTATAATTTATCCCTTTGACGCAGTTTCCCCTCGCCTTATCAAAGACAAGTTACGCGGAATCAGCTGTGTTTAGTCATGACTCGACTTGGCAGGGTAAAGGAAGCGATACGTGTGACGTGTAGGAGGTATAATTACGAAGCATCAGGGAATACCAAATCCAAATGTCGCAATTCCCGAACAATCAGAATCAAGGATCTTTGGAGTATCATTCCACGTATCGCTTCACTAAAATGATACATACGACCCAACCGGACCTGCAAATTAGATTTGGATATCATCTGGGTCAAAAGGATATCCATTCAAAAAAGGTTATCACTTACTTCTAAAAAATGATTTTAATAGGCCCGTTCCAAACACCGCCGTACCAATTTAACAACCAAGTTCGCACGGCAGTAATCGACTGTAGAACGTGCCTATTTTCCACGTATCCCAAAACATCCAAACAATATAAACTACCACTGGTTTTGCCAACGTAATTAATTCCTAGAAATCGATTTGAACTTTCAGTTCAATTCTTGGAACTCAGTCGAAGATCGCGCAGGTGAAAACACTATTTTACAGATTGTCAGGTTTCGGGAGCTTCCAGAACAGTCATGCAAGGTTTTGTTGCAAAACCCCCTCTTATTATGCGTGGCATATTAATTCTCCTGCGGTAGATGTTAACCTCTATGAAATCATTGTTTTCTGGAAAACAATCGGCATAACACGATGTTATTACTGCGTCCTTTGTTTGTGCTTGTGTGCGCGTAAGTGATATAGGTAAGGTTGGCGTTCTATCTTCCCATACATTTCCGCTTCCAAAGAACAACTTACTGGCATCGTTTTACACTTTTTTGAAAGCAGGCGGCTTTGCATTTTTTGTTTCCCCCATCCGATTAGCTCTCGTTCCTGTTCTCTCGGCATAATCTTAAAGGGGCACTGAGCCATGAAATCCCCCAAAATGTCATGTTTTGGATTGTTTACTTACACTATGAAAAGGTCTAGTTGAAACTTAATGTCTTGCCGGGCAAAAGCGGTTGTTTACATCGGACGATACGATACAATAATATTGTGTGTCACTTAAATTACACACAGCACCCTAATGTGGTTTCTCACCAGTCCGCAAAAGGCAAACAACTTTACGGCTGGAATCAAGAAACAAGCGTGTATAGCAGCTTGTGACAAGCTCGTTTTTTTGCGACGGTAATTGATGACGAGGCGCCGCATATTGTAAAAATATGTCCTGACTCCTTCCGCGGGCCAGTCTAATTTCACGGCACATTTTGACGATCTCTGGTCATCAATAATTATGTCTCGAAGTGTATATCTTTGAGGCGGATGGTGTTGTGGACACGCAGTTTGTTAATCTCCATATTTTATTTCAATCACAGGATTGATTGATAACCTCGGGGCTATCGCTCAATCTCAGGCGTGACAAGGGAGATACGAAATCATAACTGGACGATAAAATGCTTTAGATACTGGATTCCCGTTGTCTGTTTGGACTGTGACTGTGACCGAATATATGACAAAAGGCTGTATGCTACCGCTGCATACCTATATAGGACACAACAAAACGAGTGAGCGCAGTATCATCCAATCTGACAGCTTAATTTTCTCGTTTGATATTACAGGAGACTTGAGCCTCCGTATAAACCAATTTTGAGCTAGCAGGCAATACTTGTCGCAATTGAAGCTTCCTCAGCAAACCTTCAAGAGAACAGAACCAGACAGAGGATAGTTACAATTCACAACAGGTATGATTGGCAAAGTGTTGTTAGCTTGTCTCCTGTGCGGCGTGCTGGCGACGTGCTCGGGTTCCAGCTCGAGCTCCAGCACCAGCTCCAGCTCGAGCGCCTCTAGAGGCCCCCGGTCCTTAGAGAGACTCCTCCGAAGGAGTGTCGCCATCGCCTCCAGCCTGCACAAGTTGCGCTCCGCAAGGGTACGGCGCTGGGAGAGCTCCTCCCCGATCTGGAAGCGCCTTCACAGGATCCAGCAGCGCGCCATGGACTTCTCCGGGATGCCGGACCTGAGTTTAATTCCCGACGCGGTTCAGGTGGCCCGGGCTTTCGACGAAACGCATAAGCTCGTCAACAAGGACCTGAACGATATCAAGTTGGGCTGGCAAGACAAGCCTTTTGATTTGCCGGGACTTCCCCCTCAACCTGCAGCAGCAGGTTGGGATGAGGAGCCGTCTGATGATTGGGGGCCAGTTGTCTACCCTGGCCTGCCTGACAACCACGAGGATGACTGGGGAGAATTTCTAGAACCAGTAAGTCACTTTCACATTTGAAAGAAAATTAATAAACAGTGAAACGAGAGTTGAAATATTAATCCTTCATCCACAAGGGACCTTTGCATGATTAGTTTGAAAGTGCTGCAACTACTTCCAAAAGAAATCCGAGTTATATTTGGCCTAACCCTTTCCGGGTGAAAAATGACACTTTTCTGGGTCAAAATGACAATTTTCTGGGTCAAAATGACACTTTTTGTCAAATTGACCGTAAAAGTGTAATTGGTGTTACCCGAAAAGGGTAAAAAAAAACATGAAAGTGAGGCTTGGAACGCACTCCAATCATAAAATAGTCTGGCACCATCCCATTCAAAGGTTTACAAGTTATAAATAGATTCAGAGAACCCGATCGAAAATGCTTCCTCGTACGTAAGGTCTATATAGAGCAAAGACACAAGAAAGACGTTGATGTCGATAAACGATATACATGGCGTCAAAGGTGACACGGTTTGTATGTCACTGTCCTCTGGGGAGAAAAAAAAACATTGAGCTTTAACATCTGTAGTTCCTCGGGTGGTACTCGAACCCACGACCTCAAGCTTACTAGTGCAGATGTTCTACCGCTCGACCACCGAGCTTGCCGAGGTGGCTGGCTGTTTGGAGTCTGATATAGCAGCGGGTACCACAACTAAACTTATCATAAGATGAAATTTGTGTCGGGAATATGTACATTTTAGCTTGCAAGCTCTTGGACAACACTAGTACACAGTGCTTTAAAAACAAAAACGTTATTGAAGGGCCAAACACTATATTGAATTTGCATGTTCGACGCAAATTCGAGCTTATGACTAACTGTGTTTCTCTTAACGTAGATTGGGCTTCAAAAAAGAAGACGTTTTACTCATGTTTAAAAATGTTACTTTTCTATTACGTACAGTGCAGTGACGACATCGTCGGCAATGCTTGCACACACAACAGCGACTGCCCAGGTTGTGGGGCGTTCCATTGCTCATCCAGCACAAATCGCTGTGTGGCAGGCGCGGAACCAGACCCGTGAGTGTTTCTTTTTTAGCAGGTCACAGAAGGGCCTGCCTATACTATACAAATATTGAATGGTTATGAGTGCAATGGTAAGAATAATTTTATGAGGTGACAGGTGGGATGTTCCATTCCACGAGGCGAAGCCGAGTAGAATGGAACATTCCATCTGTCACCGAATGAATTTTTTTCTTTCCATTGCACGAATGTGAAACATTCTTTGTTTTTTACAACACGTGAATAAATCCTCGTCACCTGATTGGTCAGAGCCTCCAATAGCGTGACCGTGCAATGGGTACTTCCATGTACTGTGGAATGTAACTTCTTTTTTTTCTTTTTTCTTTTTTTCTTTTTTTTTGCCGTGCGGCCACGCCGCCGCGCCGAGCGTTGGGACGAATAATTCAATGACAAGCGATCAACGACCCGCCAATCAGATGACGGGGATTTCTCAGGCGTTGTAAAAATCCTCTTTACGCCTGACTGACGTAATGACTGACTCACCGACCGAATATCACTTGTGAATAGGATTTACTCAAGTTTCACCTTGGTCAAAAACACATGAGAACTGATTACCCCGCAATGCCAACGAATGGGTTAATTCCAGCCCATAGTGTAGGCCACATGCATGAAAAGACTTCGAATAAATAACCAGTCTGTATCGATTGGTCATAATCTTGCTCTCTCTGGGACCATGGAGCGATATCCACACCCAACGTTCAGGGTGTGCCAAAAAGCGCAACATTCAGCAACAAATAATTACAACTGTTTTTAGTGGGGTTTTTCTTCGATGTTATTATATATTACATAAAAGCCCGACTATTTCTCAATCCCCTCTTTTTACCCCCATTCCATTTGGGTCCCTAGATCCAGAAATACAATCAATTAAGTGAAAGGGTGTTGATTTTACTTGGGCCACTCTCACCTGTGATGTCACCAACTTCAGTGCCTATTCAATGCCGATTCAATGCTTAACCCAGATTCAGCATAACCTGGTGAGAGTGGCCCAAGTACAATTTACACCCTTTCACTTATTGTATATTTCTGGATCTAGGGACCCAAATGAAATGGGGTAAAAAGGAGTGGATTGAGAAATAGTAAGGCTTTAATTTAATATGTAATTTCATTGAAGAAAAAAGTATTAAACAGTTTTAATTATTAGTTTTCTGAATGTTACACCTTTTTGGCACACTCTGTTTACGTACGTAACGTGTACAAAACGGATAAAAACTATACAAAGTGTTGGGCAAGGGGTGGTGCTGTACTATACAGTTCAACACCCCATAAGCCTATTTGCTGTATATCCTTAAATATTACAAATCCGAAGGTGTTTCTTTTTTTGGAACAACCTCATTACTTGTATAACTGTAGGGCAAATTTGTGCGTGACTGTGTACGGTGCGTCAAATCCGACTAAGCTTAGTTCTTGTGTGGGTATTATGCGAGGGGTGGTTGTTGTGCGATCAGTTTTGAAAAAGGAGGGAACTCTACACCTGTACCTTGGAGGTTTATCTTGAAGGTACTCTCTGACTGTCACCCTCATAGACTAATAAAAAAATCGCAATTTTTTTATTAAATCGTAAAGCCTGAAAGCCTTATCAATTCCCTTTTTTCCCAGCGATGGCAATGTACGGACAAGTATACTGCACGCGGGCGTTAATAATGTATAAATCAGCATCTTCAATAATTTACATGTTGTGTGAAAACCCTTGCCGGTTTTTTTTTTAAGTTGTACATTATTGAAATTCGTTCCATTGAAAATACCTACCTCAGGCTGAGCTTATACTGTCTTGTATGGTCTGTGCAAGTTCATTATTTCTTCTTTTTTTTCCCCTGCGTTCTTTCTCTCTGCAGGAATTTTGGTGGATTCTTCTGAATGCCGTACGCCTTCACCATTGACGTTTGGATTCAGTGGTATTACATTGAGACTGTTCTTTTGTATTGGTTATGTTCTGGTTGTGCTCTGGGATATTCTGTCTTCGTTCTCAGCAACCCTTAGGCTCGTCCAATGCACTCCCTCTCCGATTCTTTTCTCCTTGTGTGCTTCGTAACAAGACGGTGGTTTGAATCTCACACTCCGTCGGCTAGCAGCGTGAGCGGCCGGGACTGATTGTGGGACCACGAACCCACAGAGTTACACGGAGAGGCCCCTGGCAGTTTTTCCATTTTCTTGTTTCTCTTCTTCGGTATTCAAAAGGAGGTAACTCCTCACAATTGCTTGTGTCATTTTACAGCCTTGGTCACTCAACTCACTAATCTCCCTTTTCTAAAGGCATATATCTACTCGCTCCCAATATATAGGCAGCGTGTGTTAAGGTATTTCAGTTCCTTGTGGGTAAGATGGCCCAGCTCCCAAAGAATTTACAAGAAAGGGAGAACGAAAAGAAAGAAAATTTTCAATATGATGTTTATTACGCTAAGATTCTATGAGCGTTTTCGAAACGACTGGCTTTGGCTTCGTTTCGGCTAAAGGATATTTTAGGCCCCCAACATCGGGAACTCACTTACATTTTGGTGCCTGTTATGCTTCAGGAACATTCAATGGGTTGATATCAAGCCAAAAGTTGGAATATGTTTTGTTTAGTTTGCCTCTCAGTGAAGTTCAGAAGATAGGGGGCAAAGCCGAAGCTGAAGACAAAGCAAAGGTTTCGAAAAAACCCTATATCATTGACCCAGTGAATCAGAGTTTCATTAGTCAAGGGCCAGAAATCTTCCGATGTCGGATGCCTGTGTAGTGTGAAATTTAGACTCCGTGAAATACTGGTGCCTGGTCACGTTTGAGGTACAATAGGCCTATAAGGTACAAGACGGACCAGACTAAAAAGGAGTCAAACTTTCATGTCATTGTCATCGGGAACGAAACCTGATTTTCGAATATGATACTCTTCCTAATTTCTTCGTTTTATATGATTGTCAATCCTCACTCAAGAGTCAGTATAAAATTTGCACCCTACTCCTCATTATATAAGGCGACACGTCGATAAACGCCCATCCTTGCTTCGTGATTCTTTTGGCATTGAGGTGGGCTTATACAAGTTATATCTCATCCTCATCAAATAATACGATCTGAAATGACAAAGTCCGTCCACCCCAAAAATCTGCCTGACAATTGCTCGATATACGGTAACTAGAAAACAACACTGTGGGATAACTTTGTTATCGCGATAGGTGATGGTCCATATTTTCTTTCTTTCAAGCTGATGACAAAGAGTTTGTTTTTGTTTAGGCAAGTGCTTTAGCAAACTATCTCCTTATCCCTCGTGTAATCCGGGCATATCATAACGAAACCTCCCGGGGTGCTCACAATCAAGATTATTATTAAATTACAGGCGAGAGGTTATCGAAAGCCCTCTAATCCCCCCCCCCCTACCCCCTCCCGACTCCTATCAGGGGCTGTGAGGGGTTGGAATTAAAGTTTACCTATTCAGGGTGAGTCAAAAAAGCGGAACCCAAACCCCAAAAATATATTTCATATTTAAAACAAATATGTAGCACCAAACATAATAATGACTGGAAAGCCAATTTCATAAGCTACTTTAAGATGTAAAAATTACTGAAATCACTCAATCCGTTCAAAGAATATCGCCATTTAAACGCAATGATTGTCCTTACACTTTAAGTTCTTGCATCCCTAACTAAAATGCAATGATAACTCTTTTGATGTTGCTGTGTCCTGAGCCTTTGGGAAACTTAGTTTCAAAATGACATTTCCCCCTTTTCGTGAAACTTTAGTTGAAATCGTCAATGCTTTGGGCATTATGATGGCAACAACCATTAGGTTCACGAATGGTGTTTTTCCTTTTGTGTAGCCTGTAGTTTCAGTTCCGAAATCTCTCATTTCTCGAACATTACATAACGGTAAGGTCACTGCTTTTTGAAGTTCCAAAATTACAGTCCGACTTGAATCCATACAAGGACAATGGGACCTGTCCGGGAATTGGGCCAGTACAATTTGCACTTTGCACGTTAGACTTTAGACTTTATTTTGGCAGCGTAAAAGAATAAACACGGGGGATCCTGATATAATGTCACTATTTTTCAAGAAACAAAAGCACACATTGAGATAAACGTCCTTCAATATCAGTTTTTAACAATTTTATTCAACGTTTAACGTATACCACCAGAAGACACGATTGTTGTATGTATACCTTTACGGTTTATTACCGTTTTTTTTCTCAAGTGCAATGTATTAGTACTATAGTACTGTTTTAGTATTGTTTACTCCACACATGTCAACCGAATCAAAATCGAGAAATGTTATAAATGTTTGAAGTCATATTCTTCATCTTTTAAACTGTGAGTGTTGATTGGGTACAGGGACGTGTCAACGGTTTGGTGTAATATTTTAAACTTATTTGATGTGTTCCACGCTTGTTCAATACAAAATAAATTCAGCCGAAAGGCGTTTAAAACCTATTTTGTGTTTATGATATAACTTTCTGTAAGCTGACTTTCCCAAATGTTTAAAGCCGATAAACTGTTGGTTATCTAATTGTTGAATAACTGCCAAACTCCAGCCAAAACATTTGGTCCAAAAGAAAGCAATACTCCACTTCTCATACGGTGTCATATCACGAGTCATTTGGAAGGAAAGGAACCGACTTGGCGAAAACAAATAACAACGCTTTATAGTAATGCAGGGCCGTGTCCCAACAAAACATATTGTTTTTATTTTTTATTTTTGTTTGGAGGGGGGAGGGATGGGGGAGGAGGCACTGATTTGTTTATTTATTTTTTGGGGGGGGGGGGGGGGAGTCACGGCACTTTAGCCAAAATTTGGGTAAGGTGTTGGGGTTGCGTCTTTTTGGCGGGGGGGGGGGAGAAACGCCCGGACTTTGTTTCTTATTTTAAGTTTACCACCCACACACCCGGCAAATCACTCTTGGAATGGTCCGAAACAAAATATCAAGGGTCTCGACGCGACAAGAATAGTTTAATGGGAATAAACTTGGAGGGTGTGAATGGTTAGATGAAAGAGGGCGCCAAATTGATAGTCAGTAACGTTCGTCGAAAGGCCACAGAGGGCGCTGCTGACGGTTCCCAGGCACCCACCACTGATCTCCGTGTAAGAAAATCATGGGGATCAGTGACACCAACCTCAAAACAAGCGACCCATATGGGTGCATACCTGCAAATAAACTCCCATAGACACTAGTGCTAAATGCCCGTACTTCAAAATTCTTTTAAAAATACTCAAAACTCTCACAGGTATTCAAGCTGCACAGAAAAATGATGATCAATGTGTCATCTTTCATTTTCTTTTCAATTTATGGTGGGTTGACCATTGACTTTTCGAGATATTTTCACGCAAAGAAGACGACCCCTATTTTCCCCAAAGCGGAAAAGTAGCCATCTTGAAAAACGATCCCTCCACAACATGGCAAAATAGCGCCACTTTCGAGCCCAATAGCATCCAAAATGCTCAGAATTGGAAGCCCCAAGTCCGGGCCAGAGGTTCACTACCATATCTCTTCAATTCCCCAATTTTACGGCGCTCAGAACTCTCTAATATAGAATATTTTGAGGGTATAACTTTTATTCATGAGCTTGGCGGATCGATTTACCGGTGTGTACCCTATAATAGCAGGCAACTTTTAAATTTTAACACAAAATCACATTCAGGACAAGCAGAATATCTCCAAAGTCAATATTTTGAAAAAAAAATGAAAGAAAAATATTATCCGAGGTCGATATTAAGCCCGAAAATAGTGATTGTTTTGCCCCTGCTAAGCTGTAGAGCGCCCCCAGCGACAATAAATTGAGTTCCAGCTACTTTAAAGCTCAAAATGCCCCCCCCCCCCCCTTTTCAACTATCAATTGTTGTAATCGGGTGATAGCCTACTGCTCCCTTATGATTTGGAAGCATCCGTTACGGAAAAAAAACCTTGTTGATACCTTTAAAACACTTTTTCCCCCTCCCGTAGGTTCCGCCCACTGAAAAGACCACTGCCGCGGCACAGCGCATGCGCGAAACGGCCATCTTTGTGATTCTTTATAGGGTGCATACCTGCAAATAAACTCCCATAGACACTAGTGCTAAATGCCCGTACTTCAAAATTCTTTTAAAAATACTCAAAACTCTCACAGGTATTCAAGCTGCACAGAAAATGATGATCAATGTGTCATCTTTCATTTTCTTTTCAATTTATGGTGGGTTGACCATTGACTTTTCGAGATATTTTCACGCAAAGAAGACGACCCCTATTTTCCCCAAAGCGGAAAAGTAGCCATCTTGAAAAACGATCCCTCCACAACATGGCAAAATAGCGCCACTTTCGAGCCCAATAGCATCCAAAATGCTCAGAATTGGAAGCCCCAAGTCCGGGCCAGAGGTTCACTACCATATCTCTTCAATTCCCCAATTTTACGGCGCTCAGAACTCTCTAATATAGAATATTTTGAGGGTATAACTTTTATTCATGAGCTTGGCGGATCGATTTACCGGTGTGTACCCATATCCGCCGACGGATTTAAAATGTATACAAAAATGATGTGATCATGTGCTCAAAACTGCAATGCGTTATTAACAGAGGCGATAACATAGAAGTGGTAAAGCACACGTGCTTTTTATTTTAATAAAACAGTTTGTCACATATGACCACGAAATTTAGGAAATATTACTATTATAGTCCAAAAGAACAAAGAAATGAAATAGGCCCGTCAGTTTGACTAATTAATGTTTCTGCCAATGCGTAAACAACGTGCAGCGTAGCACTAGGAGTATTAAAATGAATATGCTGTCATGATTTAAACTTGAATTGTAATTGTGTTATTTAAACCTTTTGTTGTAACCCTCGCCAGGGTTTATTTTTCCTATAGTGCACTAAAATCCATAGAGTACAAGAACAAATATATACATACACCAGCATTGTACTTCTTCCCGTTTTAGAATTGTAACGAATTAATCAAAATACTCTTCTTATTAAATTTTACGTAATTATTGACTCCATCACCATAAGGCCACTATCAAAGTTGACGTTACAGGTTCATATTAATACATTTTAGAAAATCAGAAAAATTAATTAGGTACAAAATCTTACTTACATTTGATGAGGTATAAAACGCAGTTGGCCTACTGCTAAATGTGGAAACGAAAAAGTTCTTTATAAACTAACTTGATAAGAAAAAGGGGAATTTACTCCCAATTACTCCAGGTGCCATTGTGATACTTGGGATTAGCCCTGGGGTCGTTCGGCGGGTAAAACACCGGCACTGCAACCTCGTAGTAGTACTGCAGCCTCTGCATCAAGCGCTGCACGACGTCTGGACGTTGGGAAGACATGTCGTAGTATTCGCTGGGGTCTGCCGTGATGTTGAACAACCACACCATCTTACCGGGTGCTTCGATTGGGGTGACCGGGGTAAATCCGTAGTCAGGAGGGGGAATCCAGCTGCTGTTACCTAAACAAGGTCAGATGTTAAACAAAAATGGAAATGTCAAAATACAGAAGTCTGATTCCCCGACCCCAACATTCCCCGACGACTCGTGATGAATCGTACTAGTTAGGTAGCACCACACTAAGCAATACCTCGTGATTAACCTATGCCTTCGATCGAGCTCAAATTATTTTCAGTTTTGTATTGCGAATTTTGAGCGTATTCTGGTGCCTTTTTGGTATTATGCTGATACAAGTTTCCATATTCATTAGCAAAAGAGCGATGTCATTTCAGGCAGAAACCTCAATGTCTCAGCACTAAAAGTTGCCAGAATTTTGGATATTTTGCCTAATTTGTAAATGTTCTTTTCTTTGTTGATTCGTTGTTGTGGTAGTACATGGCTGTAAGCCCGTGCACAATCTTTTCTTACAAATGTTTTCAATGAAAATCTGTGTTCACAATTTGAAACTCCTAAACTGAACAGTGTCTTCCTGAAATGACATCACAGCAACAGCGCCCGCAGGAAAAAGCATGAAAAAATATAAAAGTTTGAAGAAGGGCACTTTTTAATAAAATTAACCAAAAAGGAATGTCAAACAGTTTTCATATACATTTAAAACTAGGAGTAGAAACTTCCACAAAATGTGTTCCTAAAACAAATTCGTGTCATGGACCCTTTACGACCATGCACTCAAACAAGACAAAAAAAGAAAATATAATGGATGAAATAAATCCAGTACCCGGCGATCCAGTGATCAGCTTCCAGTCGCCCGATCGTATCGCCGCCCGAATGGTCTCATTAAACACTTTCGTTCCCATCACAGGCATCGAGTGTGTTTTATTGGGCCGTTGAAACAGCGGATCGATATTGTGAAGGATTTCCTTGCGAGGCGACGGATCACCACGGCTGTAATTGAAGGAAGAATAAAAGTAATGCCGTGATTATGGCTTTCAAAGAACAATGATCAAAACCTCCCTCGTTAAGTCTACCGCATCATCAGTAAATAGTTAGGCATACATGCCGTTTCAAAAGGATGCTTTACAACCAACATGAATGCTTAAAATGTTCCAATATATGTTAAAGTAGAATTTAGGTAAGTACCGGCGAGGGCCTTCACGTTTTTAAGTTCATATTGATGACTTTCACTGACTCCAACTTTAAGCTGACTTCTCAGATTACAGTTTGAAAAATCCCATTGATTTGTCGTTTTCCACGAAGGTCACACCATTACCTTTACAAAGTGTACAAATAGGCCTTACCTAATGGTATTCCACATGTTATATCCGTCCAGTTTGGTGCCGTTCAAACTCCCTCCAGCCAGGCCCGCAACCAGCGTGGGAAACCAATCGCTGACATGTATGAGTTCCCTGTTGATGGTACCTTGTACCTTGGCTGGTAGGAGGGGGCTATGCACGAACCCTATGCCGTGCATACCGCCTTCCCACAAACTCCCTTTCCACCCGCGCAGGGGCCAGTTGTTGCCGCCTTGATAAATTTGTCCCCCATTATCTGAATATGGTTTGAAAGGTTGAGGAAAAACATGGACAAAAACAGAAAATTCACAATCCCATAACTTAAAACTGTGCAGAGTTAGGATAAAAACCACTAAAACATGAGTATCATTCAGCCCAATTGATGTTTTAACTCCATACAGATGGAAGGTACTACACTTAAAGGGAAAATACAACATTTGCAAACATCAAAAAATAAAACTACCAAATCATTTTGAAATACCTTGCTGGACTGTTAGTGAATGACAGTGTAAAGCATCCTGTAAAATCATGGCACCTGGTATACTGTCATTTTCAAGAAAAGTGGTATTTTTGTATCAATTTCCAACGCTGGTCGGCCGACCAGCGTTGGAAAAAACTGGCTTTTTTTCAAATACTGGCCCCAATTGACCATCGCACTTGTTTGCAATCGATTACACACCTATGAACGGGTACAAGCCAGCTATACTGGTTCCCTGACCTTACAATTCCCCAATGTATGTAAACTGCTCTGTTTCTTCTTATATGGAGTCAGGGAAACAGACTACAGGAAAATGATTGTTTTTCTTGGTTTTTATAGCATTTTCGAACCCAAAACCTCAAAAAAAGTCAGTGTCACTATATTTGCTATATATTTCCAACCCCCCAATTCCATCCATTTCTGAAAATTACAGCAAAAGCAAATGATGTATATTCCCTGTAATCACGAGGAAGCAATTTGTTGATCGTGTTCACTGAATCTATTTCATTAATTGTAAAAAGTTGAATGGGATGGTGCCAGACTATTATACGATTGGAGTGAGTTCCAAGCCTCGCTTTGATTAATTTTTGAAATGTGGTTTAAAACATTATGACATGTTTAATTAAATACAAATTTTAAATTATTCATCAGAGCAGACCGGTATTAATTTGTAATGAACTTTCATTTCATTGCTTTCATTTCTACTCGCAAGTTCCTAAAATGGAGAGTTTACCTCGCTTTCAATTAAATATGGCCGACCCGTGCAAGAATAAAGTCTATTATAGACATTGTGTTACTTCATGTATTGATTCTGCATACAAACTTATTCGCCATCTTCAAGAAGACTTTTTTTACGAACCCGTTGAGAAGATGAGCACTGTATCTTTCCACAGTCCCAGCTGGTCCATCGTCCGTGTGATGTTGCCGATCCCCTCATCCATACACGCTACCATCCCGGCATAGATTCGCCTCTTTTTGTCCGTGATATGCGCGTACGGGACCATGTACTGCTCGGGTACCTCCAAGGGTTCGTGGACGGCTTGGTATGGCAGGTATAGGAACAACGGCTATACAGAGGAGCCAAAAAGAAAGGTAACTGGCTTAAACCTCGAAGATTGGGAGACTTGCAGCATTATAGAAAACTTTAGTTCTTAAAAAGATATCCAGTACAAAATTAATGTATTCATAAATAATGTGCTAAGTACGGAAATAATTTGGTGGCATTGAATTTAGTTGAAAAGCCTTGTGTTTTCTTAATTATATTAAGGCACATATAAAGGCACATTTTAAGAGAAAGTTGTCAGATCTGGGCCCAATTTTATTGAGCTGCTTAAGCACATTTGCTTGTGCACGAAAACAAACATTGCTTAGTAAAATAAGGTTACCGGCCAAAACTCCATGCGATGTACATTGCTTGTGACTGGTATTTAGCGGTTGTTTACCTAGCATAACAATCGCATGGAGTTTTGGCCGGTAACCTGATTCTATGAAGCAAAACGTTTTTGTGCTTAAGCAAATTTTGTGCTTAAGCAGCTCTATGAAATTGGCCCCTGATCTTACCGTGTCCGGTGTCTGACTACTATGCCGTCGCAGGAGCTCCTGGGCCCGATGTGTGAACAGCGTGGTGGAATAGGAACCAGTGTAGTTCCATACTGAGTCGTCGTTATCTCGCAAATCTAGTCCACGAAATGCGAAATGTGTGTAGTAGTCTTCAGCTCCTTGCAGGTAGCCTTATGATAGGTACAGTTTATGTAAGAAAAAAATGCTCAAACAACTTTCAGCAAAGTATTTATTGTGAATTTTCTGTCCCATGTACAGGCTGCGAAGACCTCTTATTCAAAATTACCAGCGGGATCCGGATCACAAACTATTACTGAGCTACAGAAATGTACAGCTTTTTGGTGATCTGTATCCCTATGTCAACAAGACCAAAGATTCCACACTACGAAGGGCCTTACCGAAGTAGCTGTCGAACCCGCGACGGGTGGGCCAGCATGCCTTCTTGTAAATCCCAAGGTGCCATTTGCCTACGATGTGGGTCGCGTACCCTGACTCCTTGAGTTTCTGGGCCAGAGTGACGTCATCGAGAGGCAAGCAACTGGGTTGTTCAAGTTCAATATTCCCGTGCTGCAACCCGGTGTGGATCTGAAGGGCAAGCAATAAAACTGCAGGGTTTGATTGCGTTGACCATTATGGGCGGCGCCATCTTAGGGGGAGGGGGCAAAGCACCTAATGGTCACTGAACAATCAAAACGCAGTGGGAGGGAATCAACCTCGTCCCCAAAACTTACATTATTTTTCAACCTCGTTTCCAACAGTAAGCCCTGGGTTGGGATTTTTGGGAACATGCTTCTTGTATAATGAATGACAGCGCAATTAGCAGGTAATGGATATGTAAAGTGTACTTGGTGTTGTTATTTCCAACGTGTATTACGTGTTTAATATCACGTTCATTGTAATTATTACGTCCATACCTGGTATGGACGTAATAGTTACAATGAACGTGATATTATGGACGTAATAATTACAATGAACGTGATATTAAACAATTACCTTCTCTAAATAATCATTTCCTTTCCAATTTGCTCATATAAGTATGAAATGTGATACTGCGTTTTTGCTGGATCAGATTGTTACATTTTAACTTCGAAAAATCGTGTTTTCGCAACTCACGTCGAGACGAATTGATTCTGTTTTTACCCCAGACACCAGATGCAAAGGCTTATGTAAAGCACAGGCAGGCATCATTCTATTCCTCTTTTGCATACGTATTTAACAATTGTGGATATGCAAATGATCCATTCCAGGGTAAGAGAGCAGGTAGTGATGGGAACGTACTGCTCGACACTCTGGAATCGAGGTTGGGAGGGGATAGTTTGACGTTTAAGGGCGCTGCTCAAAATGTACACATGCATAGCGGTACTCGCTGCTGTATCAGACTTGGAATGCCCACGATCACGGTAAGCTCGTTTGTTAAGAAGTCTGTACAAAAGTCAAGAGGTCGTGAAAACGATATCAAAACGATGTCTGTGCCCCATTGCAAAATAGAGCGCTTTTCGGGCCCAATTTCATCCAAATTTCACAGAAATACAAGCTCACAGTCCTGTGCACGGCTTCCCCCTTAGTTTTTTTCACAAACCTTCAAGTTCATGGCCCACAAAAGAAATGCTCTTATACCGAAGAATTTGAGGGCATGCAAATCGTGATTTGGCCGGCGTAGGCAATTCTGGGCCAATTTACCGGTCTGGACCCTTGTCGACGTACGTGTGGGCGCCATTTTTAATACAGCTTCCTCGTACCCATTTGAAGCCTTTACCTGATATTTGCCGCTCATCAGCTGGCTACGTGTCGGCGTGCAGATGGGCTGGACGTAGTAGTTCTCTAGTCTGACGCCCCCGGCGGCCAACCGGTTCAGGTTGGGTGTCTCGATCTCGGAGCTATGGTAACCGATGTCATGGAAACCGTAATCATCGGCCAAGATGAAAAGGATGTTGGGTGGTTTGCAGTCGACGGGACCCGAGACGCTTGCGAGAAAGAGTCCGATAAAACATAGAATGGAGGACCGTGGCGTATATTCCCCTGCAAAATCGTGGATTTGAAAACAGGCCGTCGTGAAACCGAAAGAAGCAAATTGCTGGACGATTTTAAAGTACATTAGCATTTATCCCAAATAACCGAATTATTATCAACATTTTTTATTTGAAATAAACATCGCATGATACCAAACACCCTTGACATGAGTCTGGCTTGCTGTCATTTAGAAGAAATCAAGAAATGTGGGCGATTTCCAAAAAGCAGTCAATTGACTGCGTTATGGAAATACAGAGTGCTATCGACGAAATCGTGTTTCGTGATCAAAAGTTTGTGCATGCTTTGTGCAGTGCTTTGGGGGCACTGTTTCTCAAAAAGTTAAATATCCACTTAGTTACTGAAATTCAACGGGTTAGATTTTGAACATACTTCTTGGGATTTCGAGTGGTGTTCTTTTATTTGAAATGCACCTGGTTGAAAAGCAAGTGCTCCGATTTGCCTTGGAGCTGTTCGATTGTAGCAAAATTAGCTGGCACAAAACGCCTGTCTTGAAGACAATTTTCAATTTGAGAGGCATCTTTTTTTTCAGGGGAAGAAGATAAAGAAGAATTGTGGATAGACGCTTTCATTTATGTCACGCCTATCAGTTGCAAGAGGTAACACAGCCACCGTGCTTCTTCCTACTGCTCTGATCAAAATATATATTAGTTACATGTTCTTCAGTGAAATTTGCGGCAGGGGCGGCGGAGCCTCGGAGCAGCATCCCCCCCCCCCTTTCTCAACAACAAAGAGCCCGCCCTCTAGCGGTTTACTGTGCCCCGTCGAGATAAAAACAAAACTGCCCCTCAAACGCATACGTATGAAAGCATAATTACATGATCGCGCTACAAATAAATGTGTCTCCTCTCTCGTAATGCAAAACTGCCCCTCAACACTGGTTCCTCTGACCAGCCATGCCACGAATGAATCTTGCACAACAACAGATTCCAGCAGTGCAAGCTCTGCCTAGTAGGGCCTAGATAAAGGGCCTATTAGGTAACATAAGTGGTAATGGCTTAACACGTTGGTGTACGTCACTCATACCAACAGTTCCCAGTCTGAATTATAAAAAAGGAGTACTCTCTACCGACGATGACAATGTCTCCTATGTCATGACAGTTGCTGCATCTGGAGAGGGAGGGTTCCCGGGACCAAAGTGCTCAACCCACCACCGCCCGTCCCAAGTCGGGGGCAGTTGCAGCAGTCTGAAAGATCTGACAACAGGATGCAGATATAACCTGGGATTGATAATTTTTGTTAACAACTTCATGCTGTGCAGGTCGATAAAACGTTGATGCAGATCAAGCCAGGTAGCGGCCAATAACCCGGCCATGGTTTTCAATCTCCTTAAATGAAGCACATTGTAGGGATTTATATCAACATCAGATGGCAGAATGAAACAAAGGACATTAGGAAATTTCGTTTCGCATTCGCTTCGTTGCGTGGACGAAAGTAGAGTTCAAACTAACCTTTATAGTTCCCCAGTATTTCCTTATGTTAATGGGACTTGCTGTGATATGCCAGGCAGCGCTTATGGCACAGACTTAAACGGCTGAACGACTTTTTCAACATATCGGGCACTTGGTGTAGTCCACTTAAAGATGTTCAAATCTGACGATTATTAACACTATATCACACAATAGTGACAGATACCCTTTATTAAACCAAGCTGGCTCTTGTTGTACATTTTGCTCTTCGTGTTTCTTATACCGAGTTATATATAGAAACAAAAAATATCGCGAGAGGGGTACTGTTGCTTTTGATGGCCTGTTCAGTAACCATGTTGTTTTTCACGTGAAGAGCACTATATTTTGTTTAGGGGCCAGTTTACCATCTTGAGAGGGGCACGATTGTAAAGTTGCGAGCGGGGCACTAAAACATTTTCCTGACGCGTTGACCTACCCATAGAGCAAGGAACAGTGCAGGCCTAAGCGTATAGACCTACTCGTACCCATATATCAAGGAACAGGTGCGGTGGAAGAAATATATCCATACATCTTCTGTTTACTTCCTCCCGCGCCAATGCACACAAACCTGCCACAGACATTGTACATAATCATAATGCTATCGGATTACTGTCAGCTCACCCATTATGTGGATCTTCACATCAATAATTAGACCGTCTATCCGTCAGCTAGAGCAGGGCTAAAGAGACTAGAGTGAGGTCTCTTTCCCCAAAGAGTGTACACTTTCTTACGGTACACACGTACGCTGATGGTGTTCAGCCTTAGAAGAAATACACAATTGACATGTGATGATACCCAATAATAGTAACCTGGCTACAGCTGAAAAGGCGCCATGGCATTGTGAACAACGACAATGAAGTACGGACGTGACGACAAGGTTGCACCAGTTCATAATGTTCATATTAACAGAGTGTGCTGTGGTGGTGGACAAGGCCAGGATGTGTGAAGTGAGGACGTTTGTGGATTAAATGATTTTGTCCATGTTTTTCCACAACCTTTCAAACCAAATTCAGTAATGGAGGACAAATTTATGAAGGCGGCAACAACTGGACCCTGCGTGGGTGGAAAGGGAGTTTGTGGGAAGGCGGTATGCACGGCATAGGGTTCGTGCATAGCCCCCTCCTACCAGCCAAGGTACAAGGTACCATCAACAGGGAACTCATACATGTCAGCGATTGGTTTCCCACGCTGGTTGCGGGCCTGGCTGGAGGGAGTTTGAACGGCACCAAACTTGACGGATATAATATGTGGAATACCATAAGGTACGCTTTGGAAAACAAATTCTTGTTACCTTTTGACTTTTGTTCAAGTGAACTAGTTACATGTATAGCAACACAACTGTAGTGAGTTGATCAAAATGCTTCTGTTAAATTTAAAATTTTCTGAGCATTGGGCAAAAGTATTTGAATCGGAAGTTTATTTGAATTTCCAAACACAATTCTGAGAAGTAAGCCTAAGTTGGCTTTATAAAAAAAACATCGAAAAGAACTAAACAATTGTTTGGAAATTATACTGTGGTTTAAATTTTACTTCTTCATGTATTATATCAGCATCCTTTCTAAACAGCATGGAGTGCCGTAAACACACAGACAAAAAAAAACATTTTTCTTCAAAAGCCATCATCACATCACAGCATTACTTTTTTCTGCCGCCAATTACAGCCGTGGTGATCCGTCGCCTCGTACTCCTGCACAATATCGATCCGCTGTATGCCCCGCCCACCACACACTCGATGCCTGTGATGGGAACGAAGGTGTTTAATGAGACCATTCGGGCGGCGATACGATTGGGCGACTGGAAGTTGATCACTGGATAGCCAGGTATAATTCTTGAAGACCATTAATTGACCTATCGCTGTAAAATCGCGTCAAAAAATATTGTCCAATTACATGATATATACACACAGACGCGGAACGCGCAAATTCGAGACAAACAAAACTTACAGGTGTACAAAAACATCCATACGGTTGTCTAAGGGGCGTGGCTAACTCTGAAACGGCGACAGGTCAATTATATTTCGGACCATTAGAAAATGATGAGGGATACTTATCGGCTCGGGGGAAAAAACTTGCTAATTAGTAGAGGCCCATTTTGTGGTGGTGTTTCACCAACCTATGACTATACATAATCTAGGCCTATACATCTCAACATTTTGATGTGACCTGCACTTTGACAATGTGTGACCGTGGTGGTTTAACAGGCAACTTTCTTCCCGAGCCACCTAGCCATAGATAGGCCTACGTATCCGGTATACGCCTACCATAATGGTCCCTATACTGCCATCCATTTCCGAGGCGAGGTGTACGTCTACCGAATGGGCATCATCATGGCCGCATCCAGAACACACAACACAATATTTTTGAAGAGCCACATTTTGTTTCTGTTCCCCGAAAAAGTGGGTCCAAAAAGTTTCCACCGCACATTTGATATAAAAAGCAAAGTGTGGGGGGGGGGAGGGGCAAATGTATTGCTTTAGTAGAGGTTTGTGGGTGGTTTACGCCGTGGCTGCCTTTTTTGCGACGTATCATTTCGCGGCAAAAAAAGTATAGTGACAACGGACCATGGAAATGATGCAAGTTCCAGAGTGCAGAAGACGTATCATCATCTTTATGGAAACTAGTTTACAACGTGCATCTTACATTCTCACAATAAAATGGTAAGAACGATGCAGCACTTCCAAGTTGTATGCTGCAAGTACGCGCGGGAGACGTTGGCCCTATGCGGCCGGCTACTACGACATGCATCATATTTTGACGACAGATGCACACATGTGTCATATGCTTAAAGCTTTCCGATGCGAAATAGCCTCTGCTCATTGTATACCCAGCACGATATGTGACAGAGGGGTACCCCGCCTGCCATGAGTCCAAATTTCATGTGACACCAGATTCAATTTTTAATCAAAGCCAGAGACACTGAAACGAGATCGCAAGTCATATAAGAGCACGATCCAGGCGTTTTTAAAGGATTTGACTAGGGTGTAAAAGTTCAGTCTTTTTGGCGGGGGGGGGGGGGGGGGGGTTGAGACGCCCAGATTTATTCGGATTTGAAGTTCGCCACCCATACACCTGCATTGCTCTTGGAATGGTCCCAAACGATATATCAAGGGTCTCGACATGGAAAGTTCGATGGGAAACACACTTGGAGGGTACGAATGGATGAGATGAAAGAGCGCGCCACATTGATACTCAGTAACGCTCGTCAAAACGCCATAGAGGACGCTGCTGACGGTTCCCAGGCACCCACCACTGCAGGCGCGGTTCTACGGGGGGGGGGGCTTGGGGGGGCTTTAGCCCCCCAAAATTTTGTCTAGCCCCCCCCCCCCCCAAAAAAAAATTCCGTAAAAAAAAAATGCATCAGCAAAAAGAAGGATTGTAATGTACATGCGAACGGTCTCCCCCTAAAGAAATAGTCGTGACAAGGGTGCATTTGTAGTTCATCATGTCGCCCGCAGGCGGGATCCCCTGCGGCGTTTCCAATCCTCTCTATCCTTTATACAAGCAGCCAACTCTGTTGTGGTCTCAGTCCCGGCATCTCTCCTCAGAATCCCGACATAGCTCGTCCTCTGTCTTCCCCTCCGCTTCACCCCATGAGTCGGTTCCCACAGCACCAGACGGCTTGCTGGTAGCTCAGGGTGTCTGCAGCAGTGCCCTGCCATGCCCATCCGCCTGTATGCGATCTTCTGTGAGATCCTAGGTAGCATGCCGTAAAGGGTGTTATTAGACACGTGGTTTCTCCAGTCGATGTTGAGCACCCTCCCCAACATTCTGGTGTAACAACCGTCGAGGGACTTCTGAAGGGTCGTTGTTAAGGTCCAGCACTCACATCCATATAGCATGATGGACTCCACCGTGGCCTGGAAGAAACTGATCTTGACATCCCTTGACATGTTAGAGCTCCATATGGTTTTCATCCCATGTAGAGCCTTCCAGGCAAGGGCTTTCCTAATGCGGATGTCGTGCTCAGAGGAGTCGACCCATGATCCTAGATACTTGAAGTCGCTGACTTCCTTGAGAGGGCGGCCCTCTAGGGTAGTAAGGGATGCATGGTCTGGGACGTTGTAAGTGACCACCTTTGTCTTTCTGGCATTGAGTGAGAGACCCACCCGGCTACATTCCATCTCCACACGTGTCAGAAGCTCCTGTGCCTGGGAAGTGGAGTTAGAGAGGAGGCTGATGTCATCCGCAAAAACGAGGTCAGTCAGGGCGACTGCGGGATAGCGGCTCGATCTCCTTGGTATCAGTGTGAATCCAAGATCTACCTCGTGTCCGCTTATAGCTCGTCTGAGGGCAAAGTCAAGAATAACGATGAATATGAATGGGGCGAGGGTATCGCCCTGCATGACTCCTGCCAAGATGTTGAACTCGTCTGTGTTTCCATCGGGAGTGACCACTTTGGCTCGGGTTCCTGAGTACATTGACTGGATGGCTCGAAGCAGATTTGTATTTAATATAGTGTGAATGATTTTAGGATTTTACTGGTGCTCCCCATTGAAAATATGGCATGAGCCCCCCCCCCCTCCCCCTTATTGATTTTCGGAGGCCTAAGTGTCTGAAGAAAATAACCGGTCTACATTTCAGCACGCCTCCCTGAAAAAAATTCTGGATCCACCCTGCTAGCCCCCCCCCCAAAAAAAATATTTGTTCTAGAACCGCGCCTGCACCACTGATCTCCAAGTAAGAAAATCATGGGGACCAACCTCAAAACAAGCGACCCATATCCGCCGACGGATTTAAAATGTATACAAAAATGATGTGATCATGTGCTCAACACTGCAATGCGTTATTAACAGAGCCGATAACATAGAAGTGGTAAAGCACACGTGGTTTTTTTTTAATAAAACAGTTTGTCAAATATGACCACGATAATTAGGAAATATTACTATTACAGCTAGTCCACAAGAACAAAGAAATGAAATAGGCCCATCTTTTAATTAATGTTTCTGCCAATGCGTAAATCACGTGCAGCGTAGAACTAAGAGTATAATTAATATCAAAATAAATATATGCTGTTAGCTAACTCCTGTATCATGATTTAAACTTGAATTGTATTATTTAAACCTTTTGATGTAACCCTCACCAGGGTAATGGGTGTGTTCCTTTTTGTGGAATAAAACAAGAAAACTAATATTCCAAAATTTGTGGAACGCAGTTTCATATGAAATTTTGACTCCTATGAAATCTGATCTCTTTCACCTTATGTGGACTCACACGTTCCAATTAGACATGCGCACAACCAATAAGTCCATATTTTATAGAGTCCAAATTTCACACTATACACTGGACTCATTCATGTTTCCTATAGTGCACTAAAATCCATAGAGTACAAGAACAAATATATACATAAACCAGCATTGTACTTCTTCCCGTATTAGAATTGTAACGAATTGATCAAAATACTCTTTTTATCAAATTTTACGTAATTATTGACTCCATCACCATAAGGCCACTATCAAAGTTGACGTTACAGGTTCATATTCATACATTTTAGAAAATCAGAAAAATTAATTAGGTCCAAAATCTTACTTACATTTGATGAGGTATAAAATGCAGTTGGCCTATTGCTAAATGTGGAAACGAAAAAGTTCTTTATAAACTAACTTGATATGAAAAAGGGGAATTTACTCCCAATTACTCCAGGTGCCATTGTGATACTTGGGATTAGCCCTGGGGTCGTTCGGCGGGTAAAACACCGGTACTGCACCCTCGTAGTAGTACTGCAGCCTCTGCATCAAGCGCTGCACGACGTCTGGACGTTGGGAAGACATGTCGTAGTATTCGCTGGGGTCTGCCGTGATGTTGAACAACCACACCATCTTACCGGGTGCTTCGATTTGGGTGACCGGGGTAAATCCGTAGTCAGGAGGGGGAATCCAGCTGCTGTTACCTAAACAAGGTCAGAGGTTGAACAAAAATGAAAATGTCAAAATACAGAAGTCTGATTCCCCGACCCAACATTCCCCGATGACTCGTGATGAATCGTACTAGTTAGGTAACTCTACACTATAAAGCTATACCTCGTGAATAACCTATGCTCGATCGAGCTCAAATTATTTTCAGTCGCCTTTTTAGTGTTATGCTGATACAAGTTTCCATATTCATGAGCAAAAATGTGATATCATTTCAGGCAGAAACCTCAATGTTTCAGCACAAAAGTTGCCAGAATTTTGGATATTTTGGTAAATTTGTAAATGTTCTAAAAGTACATGGCAGTAAGCCAGGGCACAATCTTTTCTGTCAAATGTTTTCAATGAATTTCGATGAATTCTGGGTTCACAATTTGAAACCCCTAAACCGAACAGTGTCTTCCTGAAATGACATCACAGCAACAGCGCCCGCAGGAAAAAGCATGAAAAAATATGAAAGTGTAAAGAAAGGCACTTTTTGATAAAATTAACCAAAAAGGAATGTCAAATAGTTTTCATATACATTTAAAACTAGGAGTAGAATCTTCCACAAAATGTGTTCCTAAAAACAATTCGTGTCATGGACCCTTTACGACCATACATTCAGACAAGACAAAAAGAAAATATAATGGATAAAATAAATCCAGTACCTGGCGATCCAGTGATCAGCTTCCAGTCGCCTGATCGTATCGCCGCCCGAATGGTCTCATTAAACACCTTCGTTCCAATCACAGACATCGAGTGTGTTTTAGGCCGTGGAAACAGCGGATCGATATTGTGAAGGATTTCCTTACGAGGTGACGGATCACCACGACTGTAATTGGAGGAAGAAAAAAAAAGTAATGCCGTGAAAATGGCTTTCGAAGAACAAGGATCAAAACTCTCTCGTTAAATCTACCTCATTATCAGTTTATAGTTAGGCCTACATACCATTTTAAAAGGATGCCTTTCAGCTGTATGAAGGCAAAAAAATGCTACAAATTTTTGCCAAAGTAGAATTTAGGCACGTACCGGCGAGGGCCTTCACTTTTTGAAGTCCATTTTGATGACTTTCACTAACTCCAACATTAAGCTGACTTCTCAGATTACAGTTTGGAAAATCCCATTGATTTGTCGTTTTCCACAAAGATCACACAATTTCCTTTACAAAGTGTACAAATAGGCCTTACCTAATGGTATTCCACATGTTATATCCGTCCAGTTTGGTGCCGTTCAAACTCCCTCCAGCCAGGCCCGCAACCAGCGTGGGAAACCAATCGCTGACATGCATGAGTTCCCTGTTGATGGTACCTTGTACCTTGGCTGGTAGGAGGGGGCTATGCACGAACCCTATGCCGTGCATACCGCCTTCCCACAAACTCCCTTTCCACCCGCGCAGGGGCCAGTTGTTGCCGCCATCATAAATTTGTCCTCCATTATCTGAGTTTGGTTTGAAAGGTTGAGGAAAAACATGGACAAAAATAGAAAATTCACAATCCCATAACTTAAACTGTGCAGAGTAAGGATAAAACCACTAAAAACAAGAACATCATTAAGCCAAATTGATGTTTTAACTCCGTACAGATGGACCGTAAGGAAGCCATTCGTGAACGTGTTCCCTGAATCAATTTCATAAACTGTAAAATGTTGAATAAAATGATGCCAGACTATTTTATGATTGGAGTGATTGATTATTTTGTTTTAATGTGGTTTAAAACATAATGACATGTTTAATTATTTACAAATTTTAAATTATTCATCAGAGCAGACTGGTATTAATTTGTAATGAACTTTTATTTCATTGCTTTCATTTCTACTCGCAAGTTCCTAAAATTGAGAGTTTACCTCGCTTTCGATCAAATATGGCCGACTCGTGCAAGAATAAAGTCTATTATAAACACTGTACTACATGTACAATACTGATTCTGCATACAAGTTTATGCGCCATCTCCAAGAAGACTTTTTTTACGAACCTGTTGAGAAGACGAGCACTGTATCTTTCCACAGTCCCAGCTGGTCCATCGTCTGTGTGATGTTGCCGATCCCCTCATCCATACACGCTACCATCCCGGCATAGATGCGCCTCTTTTTGTCCGTGATATGCGCGTACGGGACCATGTACTGCTCGGGTACCTCCAAGGGTTCGTGGACGGCTTGGTACGGCAGGTAGAGGAACAACGGCTGTACAGAGGAACCAAAAAGAAAGGTAACTGGCTTAAACCTCGAAGATTGGGAGACTTGCAACGTTATAGAAAAAGTTAGTTCTTAAAAAGATATCCAGTACAAAATCAATTTATTCATAAATAATAAGCTATTTATTTTGTTAAGAAGTACGTAAATATATTTGGTGGCATTGAATTTAGTTGAAAAGCCTTTCGTTTTCTTAATATTAAGATTTTCTTTTATGAGAGTCGCCAATCACAAGCTCCTTATTAAGGTGAGGGTTACAAGAAGGGATAGAAAAGGAAATCGAAAACAATATATATGTCAAGTAGACAGATATTGACGGTACGCTTAAAGGCAAATTAAAGAGAAAGTTGTCCGATCCGATCTTACCGTGTCCGGTGTCTGACTACTATGCCGTCGCAGGAGCTCCTGGGCCCGTTGTGTGAACAGCGTGGTGGAATAGGAACCAGTGTAGTTCCATACTGAGTCTTCGTTATCTCTCAAATCTAGTCCTCCGGCTACGGAATGTGTGTAGTAGTCTTCGCTTCCTTGCAAGTAGCCTTATGGTAGGTACAGTTTATGCAAGAACAAAAAATGCTCAAACAACTTTCAGCAAAGCATTTATTGTGAATTTTCTGTCCCATGTATGGGCCACGAGGACCTCTTATTCAAAATTACCAGCGGGATCGGGATCACAAAATATTACTGAGCTACAGAAATGTACATGCAGCTTTTTCGTGATCTGTACCCCAAAAATGTAAACAAGACCAAAGATTCCACACTACGAAGGGCCTTACCAAAGTAGCTGTCGAACCCGCGGCGGGTGGGCCAGCATGCCTTTTTGTAAATCCCAAGGTGCCATTTGCCTACAATGTGGGTCGCGTACCCTGACTCCTTGAGTTTCTGGGCCAGAGTGACGTCATCGAGAGGCAAGCAACTGGGTTGTTCAAATGTAATAATCCCGTGCTGCAACCCGGTGTGGATCTGAAGAGCAAGCAATAAAACTGCAGGGTTTGATTGCGTTGACCATTATGGGCGACGCCATCTAAGGGGGAGGGGGCAAAGCACCTTATGGTCACTGAAAAATCAAAACGCAGGGGGAGGGTATCAACCTCGTCCCCGGGGCTTACATTATTTTCAACTTCGTTTCCAATAGTAAGCCCTGGGTTGGGAACATGCTTCCTGTATCCTGATTTGACAGCAGCAGGTAATGGATATATAAAGTGTACTTGCTGGTGTTATTTCCAACATGTATTTTTTTAATACGTGTTTAATATCACGTTCATTGTAATGATTACGTCCATACCTTCTCAAAAATAATAATTTCCTTTCCAACTTGCTCATATATTTATATGAAATGTGATACTACTATTTGCAGGATAAGATTGTAACATTTTAACTTAGAAAAAAAAATCGTGTTTTCGCAGATACCAGATACAATAGCAAAGGCTTATGTAAAGCACAGGCAGGCCCCATACTAGTCCTCTTTTGCATACGTATCCAACAATTGTGGATATGCAAATGATCCATGCCAGGGTGAGAGAGCAGGTAGTGGTGGGAACGTACTGCTCGACACCCTGGGATCGAAGTTGGGAGGATAGTTTGACGTTTAGGGCGCTGCTCAAAATGTACACAGCAAGCTTGTGATATTTCCTCCCAAGAGCTCCCCCCCCCCCCCTCAGATAGCAGTTTTAGTAGTGCTTTATCAGGTCGACGAAGAACAAAACCCTATAAGACTGCAACAAGAATATCAGAGCAAGCCCGATGTGGAAACCTGACATTGTTCAACTTTTATTATTACAGCGAATAAACAGACACTAAAAGGACAAGTGAAATTTAGTCCCTTTTTTCTAGTAAAAATGTATTCCAAATGTAAATTTATGGCAAACCTCTAGGTCTTTTAAGGAAGTTTAAATGATCTTGAAGAAACCAGGCCTGCATCTTTTGTTCATCAAAGACAGTTGTGGGTCCAGATCAGTAATTAGGCTGCCTTAGACCTTAGTGGTAATTACACGCAATTCCCAAAACTATTTAAAATACTCACACTCTCTGAGGTGTTCAAGACACACATCAAATCATAGCTAATTTCATCATCTTTCATTTTCTGTTCATATTTTCTTTTTTTTTCTTTTTTTTTTGGGGGGGGGGAGGGGCTAATCCAATGACTTTTGGGAGAAATTTCTATCCGAGGATGATGACCCCTACAAAAAAACGATGTATGTGTTCCATTGCAAAATAGAGCGCTTTTCGGGCCCAATTTCATCTAAATTTCACAGAAATACAAGTTCACAGTCCTGTGCACGGCTTCCCCCTTAGTTTTTTCACAAACCTTCAAGTTCATGGCCCACAAGAAAATGCTCTTATACCGAAGAATTTGAGGGCATGCAAATCGTGATTTGGCCGGCGTAGGCAATTCTGGGCCTATTTACTGGTCTGAACCCTTGTCGACGTACGTGTGGGCGCCATTTTTAATACAGCTTCCTCGTTCCCATTTGAAGCCTTTACCTGATATTTGCCGCTCATCAGCTGGCTACGTGTCGGCGTGCAGATGGGCTGGACGTAGTAGTTCTCCAGTCTGACGCCCCCCGCGGCCAACCGGTTTAGGTTGGGTGTCTCGATCTCGGAGCTATGGTAACCGATGTCATGGAAACCGTAATCATCGGCCAAGATGAAAAGGATGTTGGGTGGTTTGCAGTCGACGGGACCCGAGACGCTTGCGAGAAAGAGTCCGATAAAACATAGAATGGAGGGCCGTGGCGTATATTCCCCTGCAAAATCGTGGAGGTGAAAACAGGCCGTCATGAAACCCAAAGAAGCAAATTGAGGGACGATTTTAAAGTACATTTGCATTTATCCCAAATAACCGAATTATTATCAACATTTTTTATTTGAAATAAACATCGCATGATACCAAACACCCTTTGACATGAGTCTGGCTTGCTGTCATTTAGAAGAAATCAAGAAATGTTGGCGATTTCCAAAAAGCAGTCAATTGACTGTGTTATGGAAATACAGAGTGCTATCGACGAAATCGTGTTTCGTGATCAAAAGTTTGTGCATGCTTTGGGTTTTTATTTTTGGGCACTGCTTCTCGAAAAGTTAAATATCCACTTTACTGAAAGTTAGCGTCAGGAGCGGCGGAACCGGGTGACTCCCCCCCCCCCCCCTTTTCCCAGGCAAACAAAAGTGCCCCTCTTGCGGTTAAGAATGTGCCCCTCGAGATGAAAACAAAACGGCCCCTCAAACGCACACGTATGAAAGCATAATTATATGATCGCGCTACAATTACAAATAATGTTGTCTCCTCTCTTGTAATGCAAAACTGCCCCTCAAAAACACAAGTACCCCTCTCGCATTAACAAGATTGTGCACCTTCTCGAGATGGAAAACTACCCCTCGCAAGCACAAATACCCCTCTCGCAATAATGAAATTGTGCCCCTCTCGAGATGGAAAATGTGCCATCAAAAACAATAGTGCTCCTCTCGCGATAACTTATCGAGATGGAAAATTGCCCCTCGAAAGCACAATTAGTGCCCCGCTCGCAACATTACAATTGCACCCCTCTCAATATGGCCAAGTGGCCTCTAAAAAAAAATTAGTGCTCTTCACGCGAATAAAATGGTCACTGAACTGGCCATCAAAAGCATAAGTGCCCCTCTCGCGATATTTTTCTCTCTATATATAACTAGGTAAAAGAAACACAAAGAGCAAGATGGACAACAAGAGCCAGCTTGGAAATGGGGTATCTGTCACTATTGTGTGATATAGTGTTAATAATCGTCAGATTTGAATAACGCCCCCATTGAAAGTATGGTACGAGCCCCCCCCCCCCCCCCGTGGAAAACGAACCCCAAAAAAGAGGGGAAAAAAGGGAAAATAGGTGCAAAGCCATATTGCTGTTAATTTGATGGGGGGGTGGGTAGGGGGTAGGGGGGTACGGGCAAATGCTCCCCTGCTCACGCTCGGAAGAATGATAATGAAAAAGTGAAGGAATCTTGGGGGAAAATTTGCTTTGCCCCCCCCCCCCGGAAAAAAATCCTGGCAATGGCCATGAGAACCCATAAACCAGCAAAAATATGAAATGAAAAGGGGCATAGGGGCACCGCGAGCTCTGAATGTTTGGGGAGCTTGATTGTTAAAGCCCATTAAGATCCCCATCTAGAAAATATGGCCCACTACGTTCCCCCTTCACATTTGACCTTACGCATTGAATTAGGTATCGTTAGGTATCGGAAACTGAAACATTTTCCTGACGCGTTGACCTACTCATAGAGCAAGGGACAGTGCAGGCCGGCCTAGGTGTATAGACCAACTCGTCCCATGTAGCAAAGAACAGGTGCGGTGGAAGAAATATATCAACCATAGGATGTTTACTTCCTCCCGCGGCAATGCACACAAACCTGCCACAGACATTGTACATAGTATAATCATAATGCTATCGGATTACTGTCAGCTCACCCATTATGTGGATCTTCACATCAATGATTAGACCGTCTATCCGTCAGCTAGAGCAGGGCTATACTAGAGTGAGGTCTCTTTCCCCGAAGAGTATACACTTTCTTACGGTACACACCGTACGCTGATGATGTTCAGCCTCAGAAGAAATACCCAATTGACATGTGATGATACCCAATAATCACGATCATTAACCTTTCAACCTGGCTGCAGCTGAAAAGGCGCCACGGCATTGTGAACGTTGAACGACAATGAAGTACGCACGTGACGAAGAGGTTGCAGTTCATAATATTCATATTTACAGAGTGTGCTGTGGCGGTAACAAGGACAGTGTTTGTGAGCTGAGGACGTTTGTGTACCGTGTATGGAACAACATGTAAGTGTTTTGTTAGTGATGATCGTGTGGCTCTGTTTGTGTGGGGGGCTATACAGCAAGGAGAGTACGTAGCTGGCTAGCTCTGTGGTACCGGTTATAGGGCTCATACGGTCCTATATACCGCTACAGATCCTAATATCGTAGATCTGTGTTGAAACATAGTAAACAGTACACACGACGAGACTCGTATACCCGGGGCGTACGCGTAAGAAAGGTACTGCAGTTTGGTGGTGGGGATAGGTCCAGGCTCTATATCTCCATCAAGAAATAAATAGGCTAGCACTTGGAGTTAATCTTCCAGTAAGTGATAACCTTGTCAGACTATGGAGGAATAAGAAATGCAAGCTATATGTTTTCACGCATATTTTACACGAAGTATGGAGGTCATGTGCCTCCATGTACAAAGCTTGTTTGTGAATAAAACGTTAGAGCCCTCGTTCATCTGACCAGCGCCAGAGAAAATGGTTGATGACGTCATTGATCGATAAACTGTGGAAGTAGCGGCGATGTGTAAAACGGTCAATTCCCTAGCGAATCTAAATTAGAGAAATGGCCAACGAAAATCGTTGTTTTATGGATCGAATGGTTTCTTGGGTATCCAAGGCTCAGATTAATGTGCAAATGATCATCCTGAGTGCGGCGTGGCTCCCAGCGTCGACCGACGAAGTGATAGTTTCGACTTTCGATGAGAAAGTTTCGACCTTTAATCGTCTTTTTAACATAGTATATGATATCCCATCTTTTTTTAACCATATACAATCTGAAATTTGGTCTTTTTTCATGAAGTTCATGTAAAGACTGAGCAGTGATAACATATCAGTTCTCTAATTTTGATGCGCTAGATTCGTATGGGCTGCTGGCTTTGAGTATTTAATATGCATGAAGTATAGCATAAAAAAGAAACAATCAAGATGCGTCTTTTAATGAAGTTGAACCATATAATAATCCATGTTACTTGTATTCTTACATTCGAGTTGCCAGTGTGATTGACTTCTGATGGCCAGAACTACATGTACTCTCCCTCTCGCTCGTTAGGCAGTGATATTGGGATTTGACCATCACATTCGGGGCCTTTAATCCAAAAATTTGGGACTCTCAATACTGTGTATATAAAAGAGATTCCAAACCTTAAGGTATTGAAAAACATGCAATGCAAAAAAATGGACTGGTACCTGGCAGTGTTGGAGCAAAGGCTTTGACCCTCAAGGCCAAGGCCAAGGCCAAGGCTTTGACCCTCAAGGCCAAGGCCAAGGCCAAGGCTTCGACCCTCAAGCCTCGAGGCCAAGGCCAAGGCTTAACCCTCAAGGCCAAGGCCAAGGCCAAGGCCCTGTTTTATGAAATGACCACTGATATAGAACTAATTATAGTCACATGAGTGACACATCATCACGCAAGGGCGGATCCAGAACACAATTGGGGGGGGGGGGCAAAGAAATGTTGGTCCCCCCCCCCAAAAAAAGTGGGTCAAAAGATTACGGCTTGGGCTTCGGGGCCCGCTTAAGGGCCCCGAAAAAAAATTGGATTCGAGATGCTCTGTGGTGCGATTTGAGGCAATTTCTGACCATTTTAACCGATGTTTATTTAGGAAAAGATGGTGGTGTACTCATTGCCTGCCTTTATTACGACGTCACATAAAAAAAAAATGGTTTCGTTTTTTTTTTTTGGGGGGGGGGCGTGGCCCCTTTTGACCCCCCTGGATCCGGCCTTATCATCACGAATTGCTCGTTACGAAGAACAACATTTCTTAATTGCAATCAACATGCTCGCATAGGCCTACACCGTTTTATGACTGCACTGTATCTATTAACGTATAAGTTCAGGTCTGCAATATGGTTTAACTAAACAAAATAATGATTTACTTCTATATTGACACACAATTCTCCCAAGTGTAACAAAAGGGGGATCCAAGAAACTGATTTGGGAAATTTTTATTTGCTGGCCCAACATGGTCAGAAATATCAGCATTATCTAAAACAGATACATGCAAATCTTTAGCACTTATCAGGGAGACATATACAACCAATCAAATCTATTCCATAGTTATATGCAATTAAAGTGATCATCTCATTAGCCCCACAAGTGTACGGAATATTGTTGCAGCAAATCTACTACAATGGTAACAACATGTGATGCTATAAAAGTGGAAGTGTGCCTAACACACAAATCTATATGGTGCTTCCCTCCTCCATCGTACATGTAATACGATTAAAATGGTAACAGCAAAATTTCGAACAGATTTATCTGGAAAATGCAAAACTCTATGGGCCTTGAAGAGCCTTGACTCAAAATTGCAAGGCCCTGAACCCTCAAGGCCAAGGCCAAGGCCAAGGCTTTTGCCCTCAAGCCTTGAGGCCAAGGCCAAGGCCCTAAAATCCAGCCTTAAGGCAGCCTTAAGGCCAAGGCCCAGCATCAAGGCACTACATCACTGGTACCTGGAACAACCAGTCCAACAACCAGTCCAACAACCATGGGCGTCGCAAGGGGGGGGGGCAAGGGGGCGATTGCCCCCCCCCCCCCCGGCTCCCCAGGACAAGCAAAAAAAAAAGGAGGGAAAAAAGAGGGGGGGGAAGAGGCGCGAAGTCATATGGTTGTTAATTTAATGGGGTGGGTGGGGGGGGGGGGGCAAATGTCCCTACCCACCCACGAAAAAAATGATAAATCGAAAAAATGCTGAAAATTATAGGGATTTTTTTTTGGGGGGGGGGAATGTGCTTTGCCCTCCTCTGGAAAAAATCCTGGCCAGCCCATGTCAACAACCCTTCAGTATTGCATCAATCAACCATGTCAAAAGAAACATCTGACATTTTCTACACATTTCTCCATAGTCGGCCACCAGACTAATAAAGTGGTCATCTTTTCAAACACTGTTGGACCATGGTTAGATACTCAAGTTGATATCACTTGACTTCCTTCTCCTTCTCGGGTGCATAATATTGAAGACAAGTCTGCTTTGAAAATTGAATGGAGACTTCAATCTTGGCTGGTGCCTATTTGTGGACTTTGTCTTTTCCTCAGGAATTTTTTTTTGCGAATTGTTTTTTTTAGCCAAAGAGCGAGTAAATTTGTCCTGATTTCGTTTGGCTCGTTTTTCAGCGCTCAGGGTTCCAGTCTGATTAGGGCATAATCCTGTGGAAGACTAGCAATAGGAATTTGATGAAAACTATAAAGAAGTCATAAAGACAATTGTGATGCTCCAATATAACACCTGCAGGTGACGTATGAACGTTTGCCATTAGGTCTACCAACAGAAACGCACCTACCCGATTGCACGAGAAAATCCTTGCTCAAAATTGTCGGATAGAAATAGACTGCAGGTATAATTTGACTAAATACCATGTGAAATTATTGCGCCAGAAATTGTATCATTCGGGGAAAAAACAATCATTGAAGGTGGTTTAAGAAAAATGCCTGCCGGAACATTTTACGTGCGTATTAGCAACGAAATCCGATTATACAACAGTTATATCAGACCTATGGTTGAGTACGCAGATGTGATATGGCATTCTAGTTTAACAAAAAAACAAACCGAAGATCTTACGAGCTTGTAGGACCATCATGGGAATCAGTACACTTCTTACTTGGATGCGCTCAACCTATGTAACTTGGATGCACTAGATAGCAGAAGAGTACGACATTGCTGAAAATGTCCTACATTTGAGACAAATAATAGAAATGAATGAATGAATGAACGAATGTGACCCCAACATTTTTGTGCATACGTTTTATCTATTTTCTCAAAATGTATATACGCCTATTCACCGAGCTGAAATTGTTGAGCTGAAGTTAGTTGCTATGCACCTTTTGATCAATTTCAGCAATTTTGTTGCTTCAAACAACCAAAATGTACAAAAAACAAACGTTCCCTCCTTTAAAGTCAGTTGGTTAGGTTGGTTTACATTGCCAGATTGAAGTCTCCTCTTCAATCAATAAAATCAATGATAGAAACATAAGGTTGGGCCTATGCAAATTATTTTATTCTGCACGTATGCTGTCCACGCATCACAAATCTGTTGCGATCCGCTCTGTAATTTGGGGTTTGCACAATTTAATAGTGAACCAATTGCCTATGGGGTTAAGTAAGTGGTTTATGCACTGTTTGAGGTCTTGCAGTAAAACTGGGCATTTTTAAGAGTGCAGGAAGGGGTCAGTATGTAAAGTTCTGACGCTTTCAACTTTTGGAAGTACGAAACGTCGCCGGGAAAAATGCTACCTCTACCCTCTCCCTTGTTCCATCTGCCGGGAAAGCTACTTAAATTCTTTCACAGATCCTGTTGTTTCCCAGCATTTTTAGGAGACAATGGACAGACAGTCGAGACCATACGGACCAAGTCCTTCCTACATTTTGATCCCACTTTTACTGCTCCTTGTGATCGTCGCGGGTCCCATCGACTGCAAACCACCCAACATCCTCTTCATCTTGGCCGATGATTACGGTTTCCATGACATCGGTTACCATAGCTCCGAGATCGAGACACCCAACCTGAACCGGTTGGCCGCCGGGGGCGTCAGACTAGAGAACTACTACGTTCAGCCCATCTGCACGCCGACTCGTAGCCAGCTGATGAGCGGCAAATATCAGGTAAGCTTGGCGTCAGGCTTGGAACGAGGGTGCGATCAAGTTCAGATATCCAAGATGTATGTGTTAAATGTGTTTTACGTCACTTGATACATTTATTTTACATCCTTATGTACCGATTAAAAGTATAGTGTAAAATCATTGTGGGTCATCCAATAATGGATGAATCAAGACCCATATGTTTGTACAAAGATAAACCCCCAAAACAATTCATTAACAAAAACCCCAAAACAGTCAAAATAGTGCTAATTCCAATTATTTGTTAACACACTAATCATGTCATGCAAAAGTATCTCAAAACAAAACAGCTGTTAATGGATATATCATCCGACGAACCAACCAACTACTCAAACAAGTAAAATGGCATAGGACCCCTACTAGGCCTAACCTAATTTTATGAACAGGTTTGTGTAAAATGCGAGACTGTTATTGAAATCAGGACCGTTGAAGACACTTTAAATAACGTCATACGTCAGTAGACCTTTCTTTTGTTTGCAAACATTGGCTCCATTTTATGGGCTGCCGCAAGCGCATAAATTCAAGCCGTGGTTGGCAACATATTTTTCAAAAAAGTGTTCATAACGCCCTCAATACATAGTAAAAAAGGCATGTGTAGGAATTATTTTGTATACCTTTGTTGACAATGTTGTATTTCCAACAGTCAAATAATATTTTGGTTATCTGTAATAATTCTTCTTCATTTTTGCAGTGTTCGACCTTCCATAGTTTTGCAACCCGTGGTTGGCTAAATGTGTAGTTGACAACCAAGCGTAGAAAGGTCTATTAAACCTGAATTCAAAAACCATGGCGACATTAATTTCATTATTCAGACGCATTCATTAAAAGGAATATTTTGAACACGTTGCAGGCTTGGGCGGGAATACGGCAGCCGGAGAAAACGTCTATTCATTTGCTCACCAGTTTTCATCCGTTGCAAGAGTTACCATTCCACACTTCAGATTCCAGAACCGTTAATTGAGTTTTAAGTAAATAGGTCTGGGAACTAGACAAGGCAATGAAAGAAGCTCCTGGATGTCCGCGCCCGCCTATATTACAAAAAAAGATAATGAGGTTTCCTTCTTTAAAAAAAAGTTATATCGTCAACCCCCCCCCCCCCCCCCCATCAGATTCACACTGGCCTGCAACATGAAGTCATCTACCCTGAAATGCCCAGCTGCCTTCCCCTCGATGACGTCACTCTGGCCCAGAAACTCAAGGAGTCAGGGTACGCGACCCACATTGTGGGCAAATGGCACCTGGGGCTGTACAAGAAGGCGTGCTGGCCCACCCGCCGCGGGTTCGACACATACTTCGGTAGGTGATGATGATGATGATGATGATGATGATGATGGTGAAACTCCATAAGAAAGCACGGTATCGTGAAATGAGACATGCATTGCCTTGTCCTAAAACAATATTGGAGTTTGAAGAGATACGCCCTAAAGTACCCGCTAATAAGAGATGATATGTTTTTCTCTAAACCGGATTCCATCAGGAATTCTTGAGCCACTATTCCTATTCATGCTCAACTCCAAGAAATCGTGTTACAGAGCCAACTCGATCCATATTAAAACTTGTCTCCATCCATTATTGTCGATCAGTTGTTTTTTTACAGCGACCAATTAATTATCATGTCACATTACGGTCTTTTGTTCAGTTGGCCCGTCATTACAGTGAGGGTTAGACACGTTTTGAAATCACAAGGATGTCTATATGGTTGCACGTATAAACATATTGCACATATCCGTACGTATATAACCTTAGGATGTGCGTGTAAACGTATAAAGTACCCCAAAGCCTTTCGGTTCGCCATCGGAAGATTTCACGAAACCCTTGGACTGATATGGGTGCATTCTCCGTTATTTGCATCACTCACATATACATAATGCTACTTACCGTGGAGAGGTCTCGGAGAAATACTTAGGGAGAGTTAAAGATGTATCAAGTTGTAACCCAAGATTTACGCCCAGCGATGTATTCTCGTACCAAAAATACCACAAACAGTGCGTCTTGTAATACTCGCAATCGAAACAAATTTACTCGAGATAATTATTTATCAATGTCTGTTTGGGACCACTTTATCTTCTTAGGATATTTGCTCGGTAGTGAGGACTACTACACGCACAAACGAATGGGAGGACTCGATTTAAGAGACCAAGAAGAACCCGCTTGGAACTACAACGGCGTGTATTCAACTCACCTATTTACCCAACGGGCGCAGGATATACTACGCGGTCAGAATTCCAGTCAGGTAACCGTTGGAGTGTGGTAACCTTTGACGAAATAAAGTAACTTTGAATGAAGTTACTTCTCCTTTTTTGAAAAACGGGAGTTTGGTCATCTGCAGTAATGAGGGTCCTCTATCAGTGTGAGTGCACAGTGCCACACAGTGCCCATCGGTAAAACTCGAAGCTGTTTTAATTTGTTTCGATAGGCCTATCATAAATTCGAACGGCAGTACAAGAAACTTAATAATATCCATATTTAGGTCCCGTCACCTTATATTATTATGCTATAAATGTGGGGATCAGAAGACAATGTGCAAACGTGGTCCTCATCCAGAATTACAAAATCCACCGTTAATATATAATTTTATTCTGGCGTATAACTCGGATTCGATTACAAGAACCAACAACATTCTTCGGTTCCTCTGCAGCCTTTGTTCCTGTATCTTCCGTTTCAAGCTGTCCACGATCCGCTGGAAGTGCCGGAGCGGTACTTGCAACCGTATTTGCACATTAAAGACGAAAAGAGGCGGATCTATGCCGGGATGGTAGCGTGTATGGATGAAGGGATCGGCAACATCACACAGACGATGGACCAGCTGGGACTGTGGAAAGATACGGTGCTCATCTTCTCAACGGGTGTGTATAGTGCTACAATACAGTGTGTAGTCGAGTCAATCAGGGGGTCAGGTTGGCGCAGTGGTTACTTTCTTCGCCTTCCACCGCTATGGCCTGGGTTCGATTCCTGCCCGGACCACATGTGGATTGGGTTTTCAGTCCCTATCTGATTCCGTGGGTTTTACGCAGAATATTCCTCGGTGGTTTTCCTCCCACCTCTAAAACTGCAATTTCTTTTCATTGTCTCTTCTCTACAGGTTTCTTCAAACCTTCGAGCTTAAATAAATAAAATGAGTCTATCACGAGTATAATCCTTTCACAAGTCCAGTCTGAAGATGGAATGACAGGAGAACAGGAATTCCTTAGTCACATTTGAATAGGTTGTGACCTGAATTGAGACTGGACTACCTGTGAATGTGTGCATGATGGACTTGAAATGGACTTGTTGGGACCTTCAGGACTTGGCGATGACACAACCACAATAGTACAGAGTATTAACACCCTTTTCAGACGGGCGTTCTAGAGTTTCGCCGAACCAAATAGTACTGCGAGCGACTCAGTTCCACCCAAATAGATTTTGGTTCCAGACAGGCAAACTTAATGCATTAAGTTTGCATTGTCTAGAGCCTGCATGCGGCGTTCGAAATCAAGACGCGCTCTGGATTCGTTCTGAACCACTTCAACAGTCAATCCTCCAATGAAGTCGTTCCTTTTTCTTACGTCTAATTGTTCATGTACTATATTTCAAATCTTCGGATTATATGTGCGACTCTGGAATGCCCTACCCCGAACTCATGTTCTTTACTCTGAATATATAGTGTTCTAAGAAATTCACTCAGGTTCTCCTTACGTTCTCTGTTTAACATTGAAGATTGTGGATTTTATGTTTTTGTCCATGTTTTTCCTCAACCTTTCAAACCAAATTCAGATAATGGGGGACAAATTTATCAAGGCGGCAACAACTGGCCCCTGCGTGGGTGGAAAGGGAGTTTGTGGGAAGGCGGTATGCACGGCATAGGGTTCGTGCATAGTCCCCTCCTACCAGCCAAGGTACAAGGTACCATCAACAGGGAACTCATACATGTCAGCGATTGGTTTCCCACGCTGGTTGCGGGCCTGGCTGGAGGGAGTTTGAACGGCACCAAACTGGACGGATATAACATGTGGAATACCATAAGGTATTGAAAAAAAATCTTGTTACTTTTTGACTTTTGTTCAAGTGAACCAATTACGGTTTAACAACGCAACTGTAGTGAGTTGATGAAAAATATAAATTCAAGATATTCCGAGCATCATCACTTGACAAAAGTATGTGAATCGGAAGTTTATTTGAATTTCCAAACACAATTCTGAGAAGAAAGCCTAAGTTGGCTTTCTCAAAGTCATCGAAAAGAACTAAACAATTGTTTTAAAATTATACTGCGGTATAAATTTTACTTCTTCATGTATTTATATCAGCATCCTTTCTAAGCAGCATGGAGTGCCGTAAACACGCACACAAAAAGCCAATCTTCACAGTAATCACAGCATTACTTTTTCTTCCGCCAATTACAGCCGTGGTGATCCGTCGCCTCGTGAGGAACTCCTGCACAATATCGATCCGCTGTATGCCCCGCCCACCACACACTCGATGCCTGTGATTCGTGCGAAGGTGTTTAATGAGACAATTCGGGCGGCGATACGATCGGGCGACTGGAAGCTGATCACGGGATCGCCAGGTATAAATCAGACAAGAGATGTCCAATGTTTGTCGTTACTTTGGAGTCACGAGTGGTCGATGTAAATGACATTTCTGTTTTGGTTTGACCTCTGACCTTAGGTAACAGCAGCTGGATTCCCCCTCCTGGCTCTGGGATAACTCCACCCACCCCACACGACCCACCTGATAAGATGGTTTGGTTGTTTAACATCACGGCAGATCCCAACGAATACTACGACATGTCTTCCCAACGTCCAGACGTCGTGCAGCGGTTGATGCAGAGGCTGCAGTACTACTACGAGGGTTCGATGCCAGCGTTTTTCCCGCCTTTGGACCCCAGGGCTAATCCCAAGTATCACAATGGCACCTGGAGTGATTGGGAGAAATGAATTAGTTTCCCAAACATCTGTTGACTCGATCCGTGCGTGTTACAGATGTAGACCCACTGTCCGTCTTATTTTGGAGTTTAACCCGAATAATATTTTTTTAACAATAATTTGGTATTTTTCAAGTAGTCAACAACTAGTTTCTTTTGAATAATATTGTTTTTTTTCCTAGTAATAAAAATTGTTACTCACACAGCTTTGAATGAGACATCGAATAAACAAAGAGTGGCCTGTTTGTGCTTAGCTATTGAATAATTGATTTACAAATTTCGAGTTATTTGCGGCGCGACAATAAAACAGTTCTCGCACGTTAAGCTGATTTATCTGGGAACCAGTCTTCTCGAAGGGCGAATTGGGGTTGCAAACGCCCAACATAGAACAAAAGGAGTAGTTTTCCCGATCCCCCCTTCAAATTAAAACATACAAGTTGCAATTTTGCCTGGGGAAAACATTTGTTGAAAAATACATACAGTACATCTTTTAGTAGGCCTACGCCATCACAATGAAAAATACAAATCCTAACCCTGAAGTATACTGTCTTGAGTGTCAATGCTGTCATACGATATGGCCAATCGTTAGGTGCGTTTAATACCTTAATATTTCATGAAGGTCCCTGAAGGTGTCAAATCTCGGTTATTATCGTGACCGACCAAAACAAGCTTCGTATTTGGACTACATGTAAGTGCATTTTGAAGGTCTTTCAATAAAATTTGCTTGCCAATGTTCAATTGATGTGTGTCTTATGATGTCATCAGTTGATGTGTGTGCAATGGTCTTCCTCCATTATAGGCCTCATACCAGCAATTCTCCTCAATGCACCTTTTGGTCTTCGATGGGGCGCCATTTTATTTGCCAATCTGGCAAGGTAGCCAAGAAAGTAATCCTACTCCTTTGCCCAATCCACCGACAAGTTTTGCAATTCCCTTGGGGGAGACCATTGAAGACGAACTTTACTCTTCTTGCCATTGAATTACACAGAGAAACAACGGTTCTTTAGTAGAACACCAAACTAGGTACGGGTCAGGTCTGCCGTCATATCCAGGATCTTATGAAGGAGTCGGCAATGGTTAACAGTGTCACAAGTAGCTGTAAGGTCAACAAAGACAGTGCCGGTGCGGATCTTGTTTTCTTTTTAAGCTGCCGTCCTCAATGTACTGAGTGAGGTTTACAAGCTGTCCAGTTGTAGATTTGCCAAGACGGAAGCCTGACTATCATTATGCAGGCACAATGCAGCCTTACTTTACTGTCATTTTTTTCTTTAAATATGGCTTTAAACATTATGGAATGTTTAAAAATGTTAGATTATTCATTAAAGCAGACTGGAATTTGTTATAAATTAACTTAATTTCTCTTCGCAAGTTCCAAAAATTAAGATTTTACCTAACTTTCAATATGGCCGACTCGTGAATAAGGTCAACGGCCCCCGTTGCTCCCCCCCCCCCCGGAACCACCGTTGCGTTGGGTATCATTTCGAGGCTAAAAAAGTATGAGTGAATTAAGGGACCGAAATGGTGCACGGCGTTCGGAGTGCAGGAGACGTATTATTATTGTTGTTGTACCCTAACGTGGCGCGGCCCCCAACGTGGCGCACTTTGATTTTTCGCCTGTAGCGCCTACCTAGAGCAAAGGTTTTAACTGAAATTTCACAGAAAGTGAAATTTCATCAAGTTCTAAACACTCCTGTTCATAAATCGCGAGTTTACTTACCCGTAACAAAGTCAGAAGAAAATTTATTTTGGCGTGATTTTCCGATTTTATTTTCAAGTGCAAAGTGAACCCTTTAAAAATGCCCCGAAAAATAAGAAAATAATTTTCTGACAAACATCTGGCTGGGTATGTAAGTAGAGATAATAATTATTTATCAAAATTTATCAAGTTTACAGAAATTATTAAATGTTGATTTGGAATTTTCCGAGATTTATTCAAGTGCACCACGTTAGGAAACACTCCGCCAATTTGTGCCAAATTTCCGGACGCCACCATTTTTTAATTTCGGATTAAATTTTATGAAACCGAAATTGTTCACAGAGGTTAAATAGCAAGCATTAATAAGATAAAAGTACTAGTATTTTACTGCATGAATTTGAGGTTTGTCAAGAAAGAGGTTTGGCAACACTACACGAGGAAAGTCGGGTTTGGAAGTGCGCCACGTTAGGGAATTTACACGTCTATATACGGTGAGGATCGGGAGAAAACCATCTTTTGGTAAACCAGTTTACAACGTGCATCTCGCATCGAAATGGTAAGAACGATGCAGCATCACTTCCAATTTGATTAGAATGATGCAAGTACGGAAGTAAGATCTCGTGAGTCGTACAGCTGGCTACGAAACTCATTTTGGCGATAGATGCACATGACAGGTGTCATGCCAAAAAGTACTATCCGATGCCGGCGATGCGAATATAAATGTCCGCTCATTATCATATCAGAATACTGTAATCTGCACATGTTTACTACGGAAACTATTTCCCAACTGACATTTTTTGACGCCGGTGGGGTGTCATGCCCCAATAAAAAAAATCTAAAATCGCATAACTCAGCAACTTTTTCCAAGGTCCCGCGGCGGGAGGGAGCATATTGTTCCTCATTTCTAATTCGTATACGGAAAAAGGGAATGTTTGTCTAAGGCTACGGCTTTTCAATGTAATGCGCCAATGTCAAAAACCGAGCCGCAGCCACAATAATACCCTATTCAGCATCGACGCGACTACCGCTACTTTTTAATAATATATTTTTAAAAATCGGATGCCTCTGACGTCACCATTCTCTACGTCAAAATAGTGTGTTAACGTCAGGGTAATTGACAGAGAATTTAGTCAGGTCTCCTGGTGCCAGTTTCACCATATTTGTGTCAGAGACGTCTAGGTAAGGAGGAAGGCAGTCCTTTCTAGTTGAATGGGAAAAATAAATGACATGTTAAAATGTCGAACAGATTTGGGACTTGAGACTTCTCGCTATTTTGAAGGCGTTAAACCTCCCAAATATCGTCAAGTAATGTGACCTGAACTGCGTAGCAGTAGATGTTGACATCATGGCAGGAATTAGACAAAAAGGTGGAGGAAATCGTGAGGCAATAAGAGTGCAAGTGATGGTGAGTAGGCCTTTAATTTCTTCTAAAATTTAAGTGTCCGTACACCCGTATGGTGTCCGTACATCCGTATGCAACTGCATGCCGCAACATGGCAATGGTAATCCTTACTTTTGTTTAGGACACCTCTATTTTTTATGAGGGGGAAAAATCCATACCCGATCACCACTTACCTGCCGCCAAACAAATAAATGTTCACCTCACATTGTGATTTCAACCAAGAGGAATCCAGGAAACAGCAGACATGCGAAAAAAAATTAGTAAAAATGTGTTTTTACTTTGGCAGTGTATATTTTGCCGGAGACGGCAAACCTTTAGTAGGCCTAAACGTTAGTTTGCCGGATATGCACTGAACATGCGCAGTTACTGTTTTTTTGCACTTAAACATTTTCCGGTGACAAGTTTTAGTCTGGCTCCATGCCAAAATTATCGTTGTTACCTCGTATTCACAAGATGGGATTCAGACCATTTTATAATTTCGGACTTTATTTCCCTTTTAAAAATAATCCCCCAGAGCCACAAATCTGAATAAGAAAATGTAATACTCTGCAAAAAATGTTTGAGACATGTTAAAATAATAAAAGAAGAATATTCTTATTTATTTGGGGATGAGAAAATTTTTTTTTAAATGTGGTGCGGTCGGAATCGAACGCGAGTCATCCCGCTTACTAGAGCTTTTGCTTAACCATTACACCAAACGTGCTACACAACTTATGGTGGGAATTTAATACATCTTATAATTCAGCCCTATTTTAAAGAGTACAGCGCCCTCTGTTGATATGGATTGCCGCCGGCAAACCTTTAGTAATCGTTAGTTTGCTGTCATTACCTCCGGCAAAATATCCACAATCTTTTACTTTTAGAGCACATTTTGCGGTCATACTAAAAAGTGTCAACACAGTGTCAACACACTCCAAATCGTCAACACAGCGTCAACACATCCGAAATGCATTAAAAGTGACAAAAGCTGTATGAAACCCATACAGCATGGACAGAAACATGATTTTGGCTTAAAATCAATAGGTTAAACGTCTGAAAATTGTGATTTTTAGTTCAAGAAAATTGGCTCTCCGTGCCGCTCCGAAATCGGCTGCCATGTTGCCTCAGTGGCATTATGCTAAAGGGTGATAGCGTTGTACAATAAACCAACAGAGAGGGCGCGGCCGGCCAATACCAAAAGATGTCAATAAAGTAAATGAAACATAAACATCTGTATCTGTATCTGTAGGTGTACGTTGCAAGAAACCAATTCTGGCATAAGAGCAACGGGAGAGAGAGAGAGGGTGTTCACTGTACAGTAACTTATTGAGAGAGAGGTCCGCGGCTGATGAGGGATTTGAAGGTGTCAACAGAGTCGGCTTGGACTACGTATTCCTCTAGATGGTTCCAGTCAATTATAGTTCTGTTGAAGAAGGAGTACCTGAATTGATCTGTGTTGCTCCGAGGAACTCTGTAGCACCTTGAGTTGACAGCTATGGAGCTTTCAATGGAGTGTGTTGTTGCAGAGTTGAAAAGTGTTCTTGGTCGAATTTGTCTCCCAGGTTTTTTAGATGTTAGGTAGAGCTGAGATGGTATGGCTGGCACTAGCCCCTTAACCACTTTGTACATGAATGTGAGTCGTAATTGTTTCCTTCTGTCTTGCAGAGATGGTAGTTGTTGATTTTGTAGCATTTTTGTGAGGCAACCGGGCTTCTGTGATCTGTAGTCTCCGGTGATGAAGCGTACAGCTCGATGTTGGATGCGTTCCAGTCGGTCAATATTGGCTTTTGTGTAAGGGTCCCACACTGTAGCTCCGTATTCCAAGATTGGTCGTACCAGAGCTAGGTAGGCAGTTCTTCTGCAGTTGACTGGGCAACCCCTAAGGTTTCTGCGAAGAAAACCTAAAGTGGAGCCAGCCTTCTTGGATATACTGGATATGTGTGTGTTCCATTTGAGGTCCTCAGAGATGTGTATACCAAGATACCGGTTGCTAGGTACTTGATGAAGAACAGTGTTGTCTAATGTGTAGAAACGTGTTGATTTATTCCTAATGCTGAGAATGTTACATTTTTTGGCATTGAAGCGCATTCCCCATTTTCCCGCCCAAGTTTCCAGGTTTTCGATGTCTTGTTGGAGGATGACATGATCACTGGGGTCATCTATTTGTCGGTACAGCAGGCAGTCATCTGCGAAGAGACGGACTTTGGATGTCACACAGGCTGGAAGGTCATTGATGTGGCAAAGGAACAGCAAGGGACCCAACACTGTCCCTTGGGGGACCCCAGAGTCGACCGGCACTTCCCGAGAAGCTACTCCTTCCAATACCACTCTCATTGTGCGTTGGGTGAGAAAGCAGGTTAACCACTGATGTAGAGGGCCCCTGATGCCGTAGTTGTGGAGCTTGTGGAGGAGTTTGTTGTGTGGGATGGTGTCAAATGCTTTACTGAAGTCGAGTATGGCAATATCAACTTGCTTTTTCTCGTCAAAAGATTTTTGTAGGTCATGTAGTGTAACTGTAAGTTGTGTTTCACAGGAATAGCCACGACGGAAACCATGGTTTAACTGTGTGAGGATTTGGTGATATTCAAGGTGTGAAATGATGTGTTTGTAAATGATGTGTTCCAGTTGCTTACAGAGTACTGAGGTTAGGGAGATTGGACGGTAATTCTCGGCTACATGTAGGTGTTTGTCTCCTTTCTTGAAAACACAGGATACATTGGCCTTAAGCCAATCTCCAGGTAGGATGCCGGAGTCAAGAGAAGTTTGGTATATTGCTGCAAGACCAGGTGCGATGTTGTCAGCACAATTTTTCAGCACAGCGTTTGGTAGGTTGTCTGGTCCAGGTGCTTTTGCAATGTTAATCTTCTTCAGCAGTTTGGCTACACCGACTGAGTGGACGACGATACGTGGAATTGGTTGATCTACTTTTGTGTTTACTTCTGGGAGATCACGATTTTTGTCCTGTGTAAACACTGACTTGAACTGTTCGATGAGTATTTTTGCCTTAGATGAGCTATTACTGTACAAGGTCCCCTTGTGCTTTAGTGGGGCAACACCGACATTATCTTGACGTCTGTTTTTGATGTATCTCCAGAATGGCTTACTGTTGTTGTTTGCGAGGCTTTCCTGAATGACTTTATTGATGTAGTTCCAGTGGGCTCTTCGGATTTTCCTCCTACATTGTTTTTGGAGGCTACGGTATGCTTCCCATTTGTTGTTTTTCTTTGCACGCTTGTACAGTCTTCTTTTCCTTTTGATCATTTTCACGATGGATTTGTCTAGCCAGGGTAACCAGTTGTTACCTTTCCTGATCTTGTGGGGGATGTGTTTGTTAATTTCGCTTAGTACCGTTGAACTGAATTTTTCCCACATCTGGTGTACGTTGGAGCCGCTTTGTTGCATACTTATGATGTCCTGTGAGAGTGCATCCAAGTTTCCAGCTAAGCTCTCCCAATTGGCTTGTGAGAATTGGTAGTATTTCTTTGGTGCTTGTTTAGTAATAGTCGGTTTAGTTGCTATGTCGGTGATCACAATGTCGTGGTCAGATATCCCTGGTGCAGAAACCGAGGACTTTACAAGGCTTGGGTTTGATGTAAGTACCAGGTCCAGTAAGTTGTCCTCACGCGTGGGTGACATGTGGACTTGAGTGAGGTGAGAAGTTATGTCAAGCAGCATTTGTTGTGTTGTATTGTCTTTGCTCCTTGAGTCAACAATACAGTGCTCCCAATCTATGTCGGGGCAATTGAAGTCACCTGCAAGGATAATTTGCTTATCTTGGAAACCACAGCTTGTCAAAAGTTTGAATGACTTATCCAGTTCATTCAATGTGGTAGTATTTCGGTGGGGCATGTAAAAGGATCCAATGATCAGTTCTTTATTATTTTCCAGTTTTACTTTGACCCATTCGAGTTCACAATTTGTCACAAGTTGCGGGAGCTCAACTGTGACCAAGTTTCGATGAGCAAGTACGAAGACTCCTCCACCTAGGCTACAGCGATCGTTCCTGTAGGCAATGTAATTTTCTGGGAAGATTTCACTTGATTTCACATAACCCTCAGAAGGGTTTCGGCCTGGTTTTATTCCTGTCAGCCAAGATTCGGTTCCACATACAATGTCCGGTTTGATATATTCAATGGCGATGGCAAGTTCTGACCTTTTGGCCAGCACACTCCGGCAGTTTACTGTCATTATTCTTAGATTTTGTGTGCCTGGCCGATATGAGACTGAGCTGTGGGCCCTGGGCATTTGTGTTGCCATGGTTGGGCTACATACTTGTGACAATGTGTAACTTTCCCTAGTTCTTTCATCATCAGTCTGGGTACTTGCTATTGGACTACTTGTCTGCAGTGGTTTAAAGGAATTTTCTGATGATGGTATATTGCCAAGTTCGATGTTCGAGTCGATGTTCAAGTCATCGCTGGGGTAGTGTAGTTCATAACTATGGTATGTAAAGCTATCACAGTTTGTGCTATCACATTTGTGGCATTTCCATTGAATGTTGGAATGATTTAATAATTCAAAGTCAGCTGAGCACAAATCAATGCAGGACTGGTGATACCAGATACTACAGTCGTCACAGGCAACACCTTTGCAGTTCCATGTGACAGGGTACTCACATAATCCACGAGGGTATATGCTGGAATATTTTACACGAGGTCCCGGGTTTGGATGGATGTCACCTGCCATCAATAATGTCATGTTGCTTGCAGGGTTGGAGATAGCTGGATTGTGCTCTGGGATGATTTGTTGATATAGAAGTAGCAAGGAGACAACTGATAAAAACAGATGCAGGGCCATCATGTGTTTGTGCATGACATACATGCATCAGCTCCATGCATATGCGCATAAACCAATCATCCAAGATGGCTGACCAATATGGCAGTCACAGGCCGACCGTCAGGGTGGTATTTTGGTGCTGGAAAACCAGCCACTGATTAAGCAGACTTCAGCATTTTGAAGATAGAAGGATGGTGTGAGCATTCCCTGTGATGGATGTTGATATTTAACTTCGTTTTTGTGTCTAT